TATCTCCGATTCTCCAGCATCTGCAGTTCCTACTATCTCTGAACACTGCTGGTCACAGGTCTCCAGTCCGAAAAGCAACCCTCCACCATTACGCCGTCTCTTGCCATTAAACCAATTATGTATCCAGTTGCCAAGCTCGCCCTGAATCCCATGTGACCTAACTTTACTAATTAGTCTATCGTGCAGAACCTTGTCAAAGGCTTTACTAAAATCTAAATACAGGTAGTTCTGATATAATGTGATAGTTGCGTTCTTGCATGATCTCATGCTATAGAAAATCACGTTATAGGGAAATTGCTATACCTGTACGGCAGAAAGTTCACATCATCCAAACAGTGCCCACTACTCATCAATTGCGTTACAGCCAATTTGTTTTCACGAAACACGCATTGTAGCAGAACTACCTGTAAACAATGTCGACTGCTGTGCCATCATCAACCTTTTTTGGTAACTTCCTCAAAAAACTCAATCAAGTATGTGTGACATTACTTTCCTCGCACAAAACAATGCTGACTATCCCTAATCAATTTTTGCCCCTCTAAATGTCCATAAATCCTATCTTTTATAATCACCACCTCCCAACAATTTACCCACAATTGAAGTCAAACTCGCAGGTCTGTAGTTCCCCGGTTTCTCATTACAACCTTGCTTAAACAAAGGTATGACATTGACCACCCTCCAGTCATCAGGCACCTCGCCCGTAGTTACAGATGATGCACATATTTCTGCAAGGTGTCTTGTAATTTCCTCACATACTTCCCACAACATTCTGGGATACTTTTAGATCAGGTCCTGGAGATTTAGCCGCCTTTTATATTCTCGAAGACCTCCTAAACTTCCTCCTGTAATGTGAACTGTTTTTAAAACGTCAAAGTTTATTTCTCTGCGTTCTCTAGACTCCATTTCTTTCTCCACAGTTAAAAACTGACGCAAAATATTCATTTTTGTATCTTTCCCATCTCTTAGGGTTCAACACAAAGATGACCTCCTTGATCTTTAAGAAATAATACCCTTTCTCTAGTTACCCTCTTGTTGTTAATGTATTTGTAGAATCTCTGGAATATCCTTAACCTTATCAGCCAATGCTATTTTATATTCCCTCTTTGCCTTCCTTTTTTAAGAATGCCCCTATGTTCTTTATATTATATGAGAGATTTGATTGAACCAAGTTGTCTCTATCTAAAATAAGATTCTCTTTTGTTCTTGACTAGAACTTCGATGTCTTTATTCATCCATTGTTCCTTAACCTTACCAGCCCTGCCCTTCACTGTAACAGGAACAAAATGCCTCTGAATTCTCGTCACCACACTCTTGAAAGCCTCCCACTTGTCAAACATCCTTTTACCTGCGAACAATCTACTCCAATCAATTTTTGAAAACTTCTTTAAAATTTGCCTTGCTGCAATTAAAAACCTTAACTTTTATGGAAGGCTTTTACATAACCATTTTGAAACAAATAGAATTATGATTGCTCGACCCAAAGTGTTCCTCCACTTTTACTTCAGTCTTCTGCCCTGCCTTATTGCCCAACAGAAGGTCTAGTTTTACTCCTTTTCTAGTAGGAGCATCCACATATTGATAAAGAGAATTTTCTTGAGCACATTTGACGAATTCTTTACCATCCAAACCTTTAACACTATAGTAGTCCCAGTCAATGTTTGGAAAATTAAAATCCCCCATCATTACAACCTCATTGTGCTTGCGTATATCTGAGATCTCCCGACATATTTGTTTCTCAATTTCTCTCTTACTATTGGGGGTCTATAGTATAATCCCATCAAAATGATCTTTCCCTTGTTGATTGTAATTTCAACTCATATATTTTCACTGGACGAGTTACAGCAGTAATATATTCCTTAATCAAAAACGCCACCGGCCCCTCCTTTCTTGCATCCTTTTCTATGCTTCCTATCACATCTAAAACCTGGAACATTGAGCTGCCAGTTTTGACCATCTCAGTCAACTTTCTGTAATTGCTATGATGTCTCAATCCCATGTTCTTAATCATGCCCTGAGTTCATCGGCCTTATCTGAAACACATTGAAATAAATGCGTCTTAGCTCTTCAGAGTTACTACATATTCACTCTCTTGTCTTGCTTTTCTAATTGATGTGCTTTCCTCGCATTCAGAACCTACCTCATTAATTCTTCCACTTAAACTGCTACTTAGAATTCCTCAACTCCCTTTCTCTCCTAGAATAAAGTCTCCCTTTAATGTAATGGGCAAATCTCCCTACTAAGGTATTGGTCCCTTTCCAGTTTAGGTTAGAACCATCCTTTTTTGAACAGGTCTTTTCTATCCCAAAGACATTCAATTTGTCCAAAAACCTGAATACCTGAACAATACACCAGCTTTTCAGCCATTGATTTATCTCCTTTTAACCTTTTGTTCCTTTCCTCTCCGAGTTTGGCACAGGGAGTAAACCAGAAATTACTATTAAGGTTTTAGTTTTTAAACTTCTACCTAACATCTTTAATTCACTCTGTACTGCTTTAGTATTTTCCCTCAAAATGTCATTCCTACCAATGTGCACAATAATTTCTGGCTTCTCAATTTCACCTTTGAACAATATGCTCGTAATGTTAAGAAATGTCCTTAATCCTAGCACCAGGAAAGCAACAAACAATCCCAAATTTGCGTTCGCTGCCACAGAATCGCCTTTCTATGTCCCTGACAGGAGAGTCCCCTATAATAATAATTCTATTAAATCTTGTCAAATGGTATTTAACATAATCGTTCCAAGTGCAGTAATGTACTGGCCCTTCCATTTTCCTCAGACTATCCCCTTCAACTGTTCCAAAAACTGCATATCTATATGATAGAGGAATAGCCACCAGAGACTTTTGAACTACCTTCTTAACTTTCCTGATATTCACATCTATCTGACTGATCCTGCTGGTTGATAACTTTTCTAAATCTACTAGCCGTCTCACTCTGTACCTTTTATATAAGGCCTTAATAACATTAAGCATAAAAAAAGTTTCAATAACAGCTTTATTTTCCTTGGGTAATTAAAGTTAGTTTACTTTATATACAATGTTAAAATGGAAAAACGTAAAATGTATATATCAAACAAATAAAAAGTAAATAAAATCAACCACTTAGCTGATTTAACTGAATAAAAAGGATTCCTCTTCAATAAATTCCTCTAAGGAAAGTAAAACTTGAGCTGACCACATGTAGGACTCTCCAGAACAAAAACACAACTCCTTATTCAAAAAAAACACTTTGCAAAGGGTTTGTTTTTAAAAACCAATGTGAAAGAAACTTCTAAAACACATACAGACATTCTTTTAATTTCTGAATTAAGAATAAAAAAACCTCAGCCGTTCACTGTAGACCTTTTTTTTTAAAAAAAGGATGTTTGGAAAAAAAGTCGTGATTTTTGTTTGGTTTTTTGGATTTTTTTTGAATGTTAATAAAATAAAATGGAAAGAAATCTTACTAGTAAACTGTAATGATTTTAATAACTTATTAAAAAAAACTATTTTAATTAAGCCTGCAATCCAGGAGTAGCTGCAAGATCCACTTGGCTTCTCAGCAGTACTCTTTTGAAACTGTTGTTTCTTGCGGCTTCTAAAATCCTGTTTTGAAAATGGTGCTTGCCAGTACTTAGTAAGTACAACAACAGACCATTTGACTAAATGGTTCATGCTGTTTTTATGCTCCGTATGAACTTTCTCCAACCATCATTCATGTGATCATATGTCCATAAGCCTCTCTTCCTTTCTCCTTCAAGTGTTTATCTTGTTCCACTTAAATTCCTTTTTCCCCTCACGTTTATCTGATTTACTTTAAATGCATCTATGGCATTCTCCTTACTATTCCTATATGGCAGCAAGTTTCACATTCTAACTGATTTTTAGGTAAAATAGGTTGATCCTGAACTTCCTAAGGGATTTTTATTAATGACTAACTTATTTTGATGACCTAAGCTTTGGTCTTCCTGAGGTGAAATACTTTATGCAGTGTATACTTTCAAAATCTTAAAAACCTCTTTCTGGTTACTCTTCAGCTTTCCTTTTCTTGTGAATAGAGCCTCAAATTGAACAATCTTTAAGTTTAGGTAAATAACTACATAACTACAGGAATTGGGCTACCTTTTGGTTTCATCCCGGACTCTTCCTTTAAAATTTTAGGAGTTTGTTCCTCTTCATGCATAGCATTAGCAGACCTAGCGTACAAATTGTACAAATCTCTTCTGGGTTGTTTATATTTCTAAAAAATTGTGAATACTTGTTTAAAATGTCTTAGTGATTTACAGTAGCTTAAGTGACTTATCATTTTGGTGTTATCTTGACAGGTCTTGATTACTGTTCCTCTAGCTCTTCTTCAGAAAAACACTATTCAGTTTTATCCAGCTCTATCTGAACGGAAACTCAAGGCTATCAACAGTCTAGGTCAAGGGGTAATTGAAAAGGTAAGTGGAAGTTTAATTAAAATCAATTGCCAATAGTAGTTTGCCACATCTATTAGAGTCATAGATTCATACAGCGTGGAAACAGACCCTTCGGTCCAACCAGTCCATGCTGAACATAATCCCAAGCTAAACTAGTCCCACATGCCTGCTCCTGGCCCATATCCCTCCAAGACTTTCCTATTCATGTAATTATCCAAATGTCTTGTTATTGTACTTTCTTTCATCACTTCTTCAGGAAGTTCATTCCATATGCAAACTACCCTCTGCTTAACAAAAAGGTTCCCCCTCATGTCTTTTTTAAAATCGCTGTCCTTTCACCTTAAAAATGTGCACCCTAGTCTTGAATCTCATATCCTGGCGAAAAGACAACTGCCATTAACTCTATCTATACCCCTCATTATTTTATATACTTCTATAAGGTCACTTCTCAATTCCCTACATTTCAGTGAGAAAAGTTCCAGCCTTTCTTTATAATTCCATATCTGGCAACATCCTGGTAAATCTCTTTTGAACCATCTGCAGCTTAATAATATCCTTCCTATAACTGAGCAACCAGAACTGGACGCAGTGTTCCAGAAGAAGCCTCACCGATGTCCTGTACAACCTCAACATAACGTCCTAATTCCTATACCCAAAGGACTGAGCGATGAGGGCAAGCGTGCCAAATGCCTTTTTAACCATCCTGTCTATATGTGATGCAAACTTTAAAGAATTATGTACCTGCACCCCTAGGTCCCTCTGTTTTACAACACTACCCAAGGCCCTACCATTAATTGTGCAAGCTGTACCCTTTTTTGTTGTACCAAAATGCAATATCTTATGTTTATTCAGATTGAACTCTGCCATTTTTCAGACCATTGACCCATTTGATCAAGATCCGTTTGTCGTTGAATAAACTATAAACGCCCCAGTAAGCTAGAGATATAAATGAGAGAGGCTAGTCTGAATAGTTGAATTGGCAACACTAACCTCAGTATTTGTGAAAATGTGAATGTATTTGTTTTTGTCTGGGAATAAATAAAGTGCATGAGCTGTCGTCTCTTGGTATTCTTGGTGAGGGATGTTCCTCTTAAAGTGAGGCTTGTAGTTCATTGCCTATTACACCCAATAACGGCTCAACAATTTGTCTACCACTATGCAGCTTGTGAATTAATACTGTTGTTAGATATGTGACGTCCTAAAGATGGTTTTGAATCCACAGCCGCTCAGTTCTCACCTGAAATCGAGGATTGTAAAGACGATGAGTTTTTTTTTGTTAGTTTATTATTTTTCGGCTATGAATGGCCTGTTGATGTCAATGTATTTTTTTTTTAAACAGACTTGTAGATGAAAATGTGGTTGTTGTGGGAGACAGCCTGGGTTAATAAATAAGGATCTAATGCCAACTACAAGAGCTAGATTGCTGTTTTGAGATATGCTTCCCATTTGTACCTGTCATTGAACAACATATCTAATTTTGCTAAGGGGACAACTGGAGACTGCTCAAAAATCAGAGAAATATAAAATGCTCATTTTCGTGGGACTAGGAGGCTAAAAACATGTTTGTTATCAGTCAATATGAGCAACCCATGCTGCCTCCTGCAATCCCTCACTTTAGGTTTAGTATGATCAGTAAACTTGACAGAATAATTGGTTTGTGGCTAAGGAAAGGAGTAGATATTACAAGTTCTGTACAAACAGTGCAAGCTTCAAAGCAGATAAAAGTAATTGCATTTTAAGTCTTGTATTCTGGAGAGATTGCAGAGGAGTGGAATGTAAGTATTATTTTAAAATTGGGCCAATCAACATAAATTAAACTTTGGTTCATTTAAGTTTAATACCTGTCAGTGAAAACACACTGAAAATGTGGTGAGATTTGGTGAATAAATTGTGGAAGGTGATGGTGAAACATGTTTTATATTTTTCGCAACCTTTTAGGTGAACAGAGTAGTCAGGGAAATGTAGATGCTAGGTGCTTGCATCTGTAGAAATTGATAGATTATCACATCTACAATTAAAACATGGCAGTAGTTATCAAATAAGACATGAAACAGAATGACGTATAAAAAGTAGAAACTGAAGTTGGCCATGGAAGGGTGCTTCCCAAATTGGAAAGGTTTTATGCTCAGTGAAGAAAACAATTTCCCAATTTGTAGATACTATAATAAGAAGCAGGGGCAAATGAGACAATGCAGTTGTTTGGGCTCTAAGGTGTATGTACACAGAACTGGGAAAATCTGTTAAATGGACTGATTTAATAAACAGTGGCAGTAGGCATTTGCAAACTTGTCATTTCATTGGTGACAAGGAGGTGCTTAAATGGTTTGTATCCAAGGTCAAAGCAAATACATAAATAATCACAATAATTAATTGGATCTAAAGGATCAAGTTAAAATTAAGTAAACAGTTGTAAATATTAAATGGATCCAAATTGTATTAATGTAAAATCTAGGGGATCTACATTAAAAAAGAGTAAGCGCATCATAAACTGAAGACCTGTTATGTAAATGTGTAGATATTCTTGGTCTGTGCATCTTTTGTGCTGTCTATCTAGCAAATGCTCTCCCTCTCTTCTGCCTCGCTGTTTGGCAGATTGTGATGAGCTTGCAGTTTAAAGTAGCAACAGACCATAAATCATTGGTCACTAATCTAAATGTGAAAGAAACTGCTAAAATGCTATTCGCGTTCAGATTGAGACGAATGAATTATCACTTAGCAACTGACTACATGCAGAAGTACCAGGACAACAGAAACTTGAAGAATACCAGCAAGTGCAGCTAAGAAACCAGAGTTGACTTCATACCAGAGGTTGAAGCCTATATGTCCAAAGTTGCAAATGATCAACTGACTACAGAATGAAACCTGCAAAGATCTGGGAAGCACAGAGGTTTGGTGCAGATTGTAAAGTAAGGAAATTCTGTTTGAAAGAGTAGTCAAGATATTTCAGTACTTGAACAGTGTAGACATTTTATAGTTATTGACAACAAGCCAGCCTTGATAACTTAGTCTCTGAAGAATTTCAATAGTATTAAGTTCATTTAGCATTAGAAAATGTCATGCAAGAATGCACCAGGGATTTCAATACATACACATGACTGTCCTTAAATGATTGACAGTTGTGTTTCACGTGTGATGAACAGCCGAGAACCTAGAAGCACTATTACCATCTTTTCCATCAAGGTCGTCAGAATGATTGGGAATGAATTTGTTAGAGTTCAAAGCTAAGATCTTCAATTCATATCATTTGCTGCTGAAGTAAAGAATGTACATAAGATTACCACAGAAGCTGTGATAGAGTCACCTGAAAATCTTCTCAATGCTTGGCGTTCAGGACATTGTAATCTTAGACAAAGTCTGCAGTTTGCAAATGAGCAGTTCAATCTATTTGCCTGTGAGTGCAATTTTATTCCTGTCATAAGTTCACTACACTATTCTCGAACAAATGGAGAAGCTAATTGAGGTGTGTGTACAATCAAGACATCATTGAAAAGAAATGAACCCTTAAATCTCACTATTAAGCCAGAGATGATCACCACTAAAGGTGAGACTGGCATTATCAGAGTTATTGAAGGATGGATGACTGAGAACACAACTGCTATCTCTGTCTCAGAAGCTACAGCTAAACATCACTGAGAATAGCCAAAACACACGAAAAAGATATGAAGAGCAGAGAACCAGTTGGGTTAGACATGATAATAAAACATACAGACACGAGTTACCAGAGCTACAGCCTGTGGAGAAAGAATGGACAGGAGATCAACAGAGAAGGTAGTATCATGTTTAAAAACATGCAACCAAGATAATGTGGGTTTGAAACAGATCAAGGGATAATAGGAAGAAATCATAGTGCATTGATGCTATTAAGCAAGAAGCCAATATAAAAATGGAATGATTCTCTGAAGAAGGGGAACAAGAGAATGCTCTGTGACTATCTGAGAGGAAGTGGAAAGGAACGGTGTACACCCTTGAAAACTTTAGAATGAGACCAGAGCCAAAGAATGCTGTGATTTCTGAGATTTTAGGAGGAGGATGTTCATGAAGAGGTAAAGATTTCAGGGAAAATGTAAGGTAATGAAACATCAACAGAACATTCATGCTGTATAAGGACATCTTTTCTTTATTCCTTCCTGAGATGTAGAATTTGCTGACTAGGCCAGAACTTATTGCCCAGAGAACAGTTAACAGTCAACCACATTGCTGTGGGTCTGGAGTCAAATGTAGGCCAAATCAGGTAACGATAACAAATTTCATTTCGTATAGGAAATTAGTAAACTAGATGAGTTTTTATGACAATCAACAGTGGTTATACATGGTTGCTATTAGAGTAGCACTTTTTTGCTCCAGATTTTTGAGTTCACATTCTGTCATTAGCCGGAGGCTCTGGATTACTTGTCCAGTTACAATACCACTTCTCTGCCTTCCTACCTCCATTTTTATATGCTATCATCAGTGTCACATTCTGTAGAGTCTAAGAAAATGTGACTATCTGTGCAGTAAGTAGAGCTTTAAGGAAAACACCTTGAATTGCAGAAACAGTACTTAAGATACTGAAGCCAGTTAGACCTTGTACACACAATAAAGCAATTTGTACATCATTAAAACTGGGACCAGTATTTGCTCAATGTTAACTTAAGTGGGCATGGTATAAGCCCCTTATTGATGGTAACAAGGATGGAACATCGGTGTGGAGAAGCAATGCGTGCAGAGAACCGAAAGAAGTGAGTAGCTCAGTAATAGGAACCTTCAAATGGGACAGAAGTGAGGCCATTTTAAGATGCTTTGACATGCGTACATAAATGCAAATAATACTACATAAAGAAAAACTGTTTACAGTGGCAGAAGAGACAACACCGTGTAGAGCTGGAGGAACACAGCAGGCCAGGTAACATCAGAGGAGCAGGAAAGTTGATGTTTTGGATCGGGACCCTTCTTCAGAAATGGTGAGGGGCAAGGGAGCTGGGAAATAAATAGAGGGGTGGGCCTGGAGAAAGGTAGGTGGGATGATGATAGGTGGATGGAGGTAGGGAGTGGTGGGGATTGGTCAGTGGAATGAGTGGGGTGGATAGGTGGGAGAGAAGATGGACAGATTGTCAGGTCAGGGAAACGGGAGGGAGGATGGGTGGGGCTGGGTATAGGTGGGTGGTTTAGTGATAGGTAGGGAGCAGTGGGGATTGGTCAACGGGAAGGGTAGGGTGGATGGGTGGGGAAGATGTTGGACAGGTTGTGTCAGGTCTTGGAGGTGGGGATGAAAGGGAGGTTTGGATGTGGGATGATGCTGGAGGTGGGGAGTTTTTAAAACTGGTGAATTCTCTGTTAAGGCCATCGGGCTGTCGGCTCCTGAGACGGAATATGAGGTGTTGCTTCTCCAGTTTGCGTGTGGCGTCATTGTGGCACTGGAGGAGGCCCAAGATGGACGTGTCATCAAGGGAGTGGAAGGGGGAAGAGTCAGTTGAATGGGAAAGAGCAAGATTCTGAATAATTTAGAGCTGTTGAGTAAGTGAAATGACCAATGCCACATTACTTTCAATGAGGAAAAGCATGTGTTAATATATGTAGGAGGGCAGTTTTACTAAAGGAGTAAAGATTATGTTTATGATTGAGCTCTAGGGTCTAGTAAATACATCTATGTTTGCATTTTGTCCCCAAAATATTCAGAATAGAAAACAAAAGTTGCACTTGATCAAACCCTCATCTCGAGCTGCGTGTAGATTGAGCCTTCTAAATGTCAGAAGATCATTTTGGAAAGGGATGAGAAAGAAGCAAGAAACATTTTGGTGTACAAGGAGTTTTAGTATTTTTAACATGTTTTGAACTTTAATTAATTGAGTCCATGTAAATAGGACTTGACTCAATATGATGACTTATAAACTTAACAGGAAAGCTTAAGAAATATTTTACAACAAAAAAGACATTCTATACGCTTCTACAGAATTGTACTATTGGGGTACTGCCTCTCTCGCTCAGTTGCATTTGAACTCAGAATTCTGTTAACATCTTGTATACGTTAAGTACAGACCTAGTCTGATAGACAAAGCACTGCAACATTTCAATGAATGCATTCTTGAAGCTCCTGATTGGCAAAGTGTTGAAATGCAATAGGAAATTTTAAAAGAAACTCTGCCATCTGCTGCTACATAGAATTTTTCAAAGGTTACATTCCATATACTTGTTTTTTTCCCTGCAGATTCGTTTCTCAGTCACTGAGTGAAGGCCTGTAGAATTATGCACTTTAGGATCGTTGTTTAATTCAGACCTTGTGTTAATGCATTTGTGATCCTTCAACTTCTAGAAAATGATAATCTGCTCTCATTCTGGGAATTGAGTGGATACTTTTGAAAATGAGTATCAATCACTAAAACAGTACTTTTTTTATTCTTTTAGATTGCCCTCCAATTTCCATATAAATTTTGGGAGAAAAAAATTCAAGGAGCAGACTTCTTTGGCCATATTCCTCCCAGTCCTAACAAACGAGGACTTTTTGGAGTATTCTATGATATGGATCCACAAGTAAGTGAATTAATTTTGCTCTTTGGCACTAATTTTAATACAGTCATAAAGTCGTATAGCATGGGAACAGACCCCTCTGGTCAAATCAGTCCAACACCATCATAATCCCAAAGTAAACTATTCCCGCCTGCCTGCATTTGACCCATATCCCTCCAAACATTTCTTATTCATGTACTTGTACTTGTCTAAATGTCTTTTAAACATTGTAACTGTACCTGCATCAGCCACTTCCTCTAGAAGTTCCTTCCACACACGAACCACTCTGTGTATATAAAAAAAAATTACCCCTTATATCTTTTTTTTCTTTAAATCTTACCCCTCTTTCCTTTAAAGATATGTCCCCAGTCTTGAAATCATCCACCCTAGGGAAAAGACAGTTGCCAGTCACATTATCTATATCCCTGATTATTTTATAAACTTCTATAAGGTCAAAATAAAAATCTTAATGCCTCGTCCAACCACCTAAAGTTAAAATAAGTGAGGAAATTTCAAGTAAAATATGGCAGTAATACTGCAAGTGGGAAGAGGAGAGAAAAATAAAACTAGAAAATTGGGTGGGTCTTTTTAAATAAAACTGTTCTCGTGCTTTTCGTACCAATGCCTAAAGTGTAAGGAGCAGCATGATTCAACCAATCCAACAAATATAATTGGCATGTTTCTATTGCAGTACTGATTTTGTAAAAGGTCAATATGTTTGGTGTTCTGAATTGACAGTATTTACCTTGACAATGAATTCACAGCACTGGTAACAACAATGAAACTACTGCATGTACACAAAGTTCAGTGTTCATGGCGATGCTTGGTGGTATCGTCGATGGATCAGTAATCCAGAGACCCAGGTACTGTTCTGGGGATGCAGGTTCAAATCCCACCACAGCAGGAATTTGAGTTCAGTACTAATCTGAAATAAAAGAACTATTTTGTAATCTTTGAGTAACTGAAACAACCATTTTACATTCCCTGTCCTCCCACATGTATTTGAAAATACTTTCCCAGATTGAAAGGAATCAAAAGAAGGAGTATTGTTAATTGTTGTAAAAATACATCTGATTCACTAATGTTCTTTGGGGAAGGAAAACCGCTATCCTTACCTGATCTGGCCAGAAAATAAGGTGATGACTCTGAACGGGCTAAAAGATTGCAATGGGTTGAAACCATTGGCATCAACCTACGTACTAGAAATGACAGCAGCCCTGGTTACCCTACAGAGTTGTCCTTAACCACATCTGGTGGCTAGTACCAAAGTTAAGAGAGCTGTGTCTCCGACTACTTGAGCAATGGCATGACAGCTAACTGATTTACATCCAGTCATACTCATGGAATCTTTCTACCTTACATATACTGTCCTAGAATACAACATAAGCCTTTGGTATATCCTGTCCTACAAGTAGGATACGCCCAGCAGAGGTGGCAGCACTGTAACATATAGATTGCAGGGTTGCCCTGCAAGTCCTCAACATTGACCCCATCACCATCTGTGCTATATGGGTTAGAAGTTGAACAGATCTAGCAACTTAAAACTGGGCAACCATGAGGCACTCTGGACCATCAGCCAGAGCAGAATCATACTCCAATACAATCTGCAGCCTCATGGCCTAGCATATCCTCCACTCTACCATTACCTTCAAAACAGGGGATCGACCCTGATTTAGTGAAGATTGCAGGAGGATATGTCGGGAGCAACACTAGGTGTACCTAAGACTGAGGTCAGCTGGTGAAGCTACAAAACGGGACTACTGTATTTGTGTCCAAACAGCATTTGCATCAAGTGACAGGGCTAAACCATCCCACAATCGAGGAATCATATCGCAGCTCTGTGACCTGCCACATCCAGTAATGAATGATGGTGGACAACTAAACAACTCTGTAGTCAAGGCAACAGTTCCACAAATATGCCCATCTTTAATGATGGAGGAGTCTAGCACACTGTGCATAAGATAATTCTGAAGCATTTGCAACAATCTTCAGCCAGAAGTGGCAAGTACCTTATCCATCTTGGCCTCCTTGAGGTGTCCTGAACATCAGAGATGCCAGTCTTCAGCCAATTTAGCTCGTTCTGTGATGTCCAAAAATGGCTGAAGGCACTGGATACTGCAAAGGATATGGGTCTTGACAATATGCCAGCAATTGCACTGAAGATATGTGCTTCAGAGGATGCTGCACCCCTAGCCAATCTGGTCCAGTTCAGCTATGATACTGGCATCTATGTAACATTGTAGAAAATTGTCTACGTATTGTCCTGTACATAAAAAGCAAGACAAATCCAACCTGGCTAATTACCATCCAATCAGCCTACTCTCAAACATCTACAAAATGACCATTGACAGTGCTTAGCAATAATCTGATTGCTGATGCGCAGTTTGGTTTCTCCCAGAACCAGTCAGCACCTGACTTTATTGCTACCTTGGTTCAAACATGGACATAAGAGCTGAATTACAGAGGCGAGATGAGTATGACTACCCTGGATATCCAGGCCACGTGATATTGTGGCACCAAGGAGTCCTGACAAAAATAAGTGAAGGGAGTCTCTCTGCTAGTTGGAGCCATACCCAGCACTTAAGAAGATTGAACTTCACAAGGGATCATAATTCTTCAATTTTGCCTATTCGGCTTTATAGCTAGCTCTTGAGAGTTGCTGCATGATGAACTGCCTCGGTGACTGCTCCTACTCTTATAACCCTCTTTTGCTTGATCTATGCTCCCTTGGACTCAAACTACAGTCCAGTATTCATTCACAAGCTTAACCTCAACTCTTCCCTGATGGCTAGCTTCACCAAGCTAAACTGCCCAGGTTTTTCTGTGAACTCCAATCTTACTCAGTTGCATTCAGTTAATACTATTTGTCTGTCTTTCAAGCCCTATTCTCCCACATGCCCTGGCGTACTAATGCTTGAAGGCTTTTTTTTGAGTGCCTCACAACTTCCTCTAACACTGAGCCAATGACCTTCCATTTTCTCAGCTCCCTAGGACCAGTTGAGTCCTGACTTCAACGCTTAGAACTCAAGAAGTTTAGGAATTATTAGAAAGCTATCAGCACTGAGGCATTGACTCTACATTGAGTTGCCAGACACAATCTGTGTAGTCTACACAAGTGGAATGTTTGATCTGTCATGTATGGAAAGTCATGGATCCAACTGGCATCCTAGTTGACCACGTGCAGGAAATATGTCCAACTGCAGAAACTTGAGCTTTGTGTTTTGGAGCTCAAGTATTGGCTAGAAATACTGAGACACGTCAGTGAGGTTGAAAATTACATGGATAACACATATAGAGAGGTGGTCATGCTGCAGCTCAAGGAACTAGAAGAAAGAAGGGAATGGGTGACCACCAAGCAGTCAATGAGAACCAGGTCAGTGGTGCAGAAGTTCCCTGGGGTCCCACTCAAATTGTTTTCTATTTTGGAAGATGATGGCACTGGTTCCTTGGGAGTGCAGACAGCCAAGCTTCTGGCATCCCAAGTGGTCTGAATGCACAGGAGGGGACGAAGAGGGCAGGAGTGATAGCAATAGGGGATTCATTAGTTAGGGGAACAGACCAGTGTTTCTGTAGCCACAAACGTGACTCCAGGATGGTGTGTTGCCTACCTGGTGCCAGGATCAGGAATGTGGCAGTGGCTGCAGGGCACCCTGGAGGCGGAGGATAACAAGGCGAAGGTCAAGGTGCACATTGGTACTGACAATATGGGTAGAATGAGGGATGAAGTCTTGCATCAAGAATTTAGGGTGCTGGGCAGGATCTCAAAGGTGTGGTTGAGGGATGGGCAGAACTGGCAGCTATACATTCTGGAGTAGAGGATTTTCAGGCAAGCAGGAAGGAAGGATGTAAAAGGAAGTGGTGTTGCCTTATTAATTAAGGAGTCAGTTACTGTAGTGAAGAGGGATGATATCTTGGAAGGATCTTCAAATGAGGCTTTGTGGATAGACCTTAGAAACTAAAAGGTGGCAGTCACACTGCTGGGTGTGTTTAGACCCCCAAGTAGTCGGCTGGCAAAAGAGGAGCAGATATGTAGACTGTTCAAGGAGGGTGTGAGCACAATAAGTACCCATATTAGGGGATTTTTAACTTTCCCAACACAATTGAAGTAGTTATGGTGTAAAGAATTAAGAGGGGGCAGATTTCTTAAAGTATTCTGGAGAACTTTTTATAACATGTAAAGGTCCAACAATGGACAGTGCAATACTGGACCTAATTTTGGGGAATAAAGCAGGGCAGGTGTTTGAGATAGCAGTGGGAGAGCATTTTATTTTTAAGTTTGTTATGGAAATGGATAAAAATGGTCTGCAAAAAAAAAGGTTTTGCTTTGGTGGAAGGTAGATTTCATTAAATAAGGCAGGCAGTAGTTGATGTGGACTGGAAACAGCTACTTTTACATAAATCTACAACAGAATAGTGGGAGGAACTTTTAAAATGGAATGGTGAGAGTACAGGTCCAGCATGTTACCCTTAGGGTGAAATGTCGGAGCAACAAGCCCAAAGAACCTTGGATGTCTAGGAATATTCGGGATTGGATAAGAAGGAAATGAGAGGTTTTTTACAAGTATAAAAGGAACAAGGCAATGGTGGCCTTAGTGGAATATAGAAAATGCAGAGTGATATTAAGAAAGCAATTAGGAGAGCAAATACTGAGCATGATGAAACACTGGTAGGTAATATTATGAGGAATCTTGGTATTATATAAAATAGAATATGTGTGGAGTAGGACCCATTTGTGACCAAAGGAGCAATCTACAGCCAGAGGACATTGGTACAGTGCTAAATGAGTACTTAACATCTGTCTTTACTTTGGAGAAGGAGAATGTGGATACCAAATACAGGGAAGGGGACTGCGATGTCTTAAGCTGTACGTAGAGTGAGGAGGTATTGGAGGTTTTGGCAGGCTTACAAGTGGACAGATTCCCAGATCCAGATAAATTGTAACCCAGGCTTCTATGGAAAATGAGGGAGGAAATTATGGGGGCTCTAAGCCAAATTTTTGTTTCTTCCTTGGCCACAGGGGAAGTGCTAGAGAACTGGAGGACAGCTAATGTCGTTCCACTTTTTTCAAGAAAAGTGTTTTTTGACCTTTGAAAAGAGAGAAACCAGGGAATTACAGACCAGTGAGTCTCAAATCAGTAGTAAGGAAACTACTGGAGAAAATGCTGGAGGAGAGAATTAATCTTTGCTTGGCAAGGCAAGGTAAGGTTTGATCAGCGATAGTCAGCATGGCTTTTTCAGGGGAAGGTCATGCTCACGAAATTTGAATTTTGAGAGGTGACCAAGTGAGGGTAGTACACTTGGTGGTTTGTCAAAGGCTTTCCTGAAATCCATATGGGACATTGATAAAGCACACAGGATCCTGAGTGACTTGTCAAGTTGAATCAACATTAGCTTAGTGGTAGGAGACCGAGAGTGGTGGTAGAAGGCTGGTTTTGTGACTGCAAGGTGGCGTTCACTGGCTCACCACCAAGGATCAATTTTGGGTCCCTTATTGTTCATGATATGCATAAACAATATAGATGAGAATGTGGGGGAAATGATAAGTAAGTGTGTAGGTGACAAAGATAGGCCAGTGAAGAAGACTGCCTTAGATTACAGGAGGTTATAAATAGATTGGTCAATGGTAGATGGAATTTAACCCTGAAAAGTGAGGTAATACTTTTTTTCCAAAGTATAACAATACAAGGGAGTACTCGATGAATGGTAGGACACTAGGATGTTCAGAGGAACAGAGATCTTGGTGTGGCTTCCTGCAGATCCTTACGAAGGCGGCAAGTTAACAGTGTAGTTAAGGTGGCATATGGGACTCTTGCCTTTTCAAGTTGTCGGAGATGACAAGAACAGCATGGTTATAATGGAGCTGTACAGGACTTTGATTCAGCCACAGTTGGAGTACTTTGTGCAGTTCTGGTCACTGTAGGAAGGATGTGATTGCACTGGTGGGAGTGCAGAGGAGATTCACCAGGATGTTGATGGAATGGAGCAGTTTAGCTCCGAAGAGAGGCTAGATAAACTGATTGCTCTAGAGAAGAGAAAGCTGAGGCCTAAATGAGGTGTATAAGATTGAGGGACATGGACAGAGTGGATATAAACTAGCTTGTCCCCCTTAATAATGAGGGGCCATAACTTTAAAGTGAAAGACAGGAGGTTTAGAAGGGATTTGAGGAAATGTTTTTTCACCCAGACAGTTCTGAGAATCTGAAATGCATTGCCTGGGAGGGTATCTGAGGTAGGAAACCTCTCAACCTTTAAAAAGTACTTGGATGGTCATTTGAAACGTCATTAACATTCAAGGTTATTGGCCAATTGCTGGAAAGTGGGACTAATGTAGATTTAGAGCTGTTTTTGTCAGTGCAGACTCAATGGGCTGAAAGGTCTCTTCAGCTCCGATTTACCTGCCTTCCCATCTGTACAGCTAACTACAGCATTTCTAATATGGAGTCTGCTTGTCTCCATCTATGTGCCTTTTTCCAACTCGCTATAACCTTTGAACTGCACATCAGTGCCCCCTAAATTCTCCTGAAAACCTTGGATTAAATCCCTCCGAGATAGTAGGAACTGCAGATGCTGGAGAATCTGAGATAACCAGGTGTAGAGCTGGATGAACACAGCAGGCCAAGCAGCATCAGAGGAGCAGGAAAGCTGACGTTTCGGGCGTAGACCCTTCTTCAGAAAATTAAATCCCTCACCTTTGCTGGGCAGAACTGAATGGTGCCAACATTCTGAACCAGTTAAATGTAGCATGTTTGGAACTCTGCACCTAATGTTACAATCTAGGAATTTTGGAAATCTATTTCATCACTGATGTTAGCACTTTCAGAAGTTCAATCTATATAAATGTAAGGTCTTCCTTTAAACAGCATTGTTCACCACCTTGAGATGCACAGCTAGTGAAGTACAGCCATCACTTGCTCGCACTCCTAATCTGTTCCTAGGAAATAGTGTGCTAAATTGAAACGTAAATGAAAATTGCTTCCCACATGAAAAGGTAATAAGGCTGGGTAACATTCCTCACTTGTAATTTTCACATTTCTTCATTATTATAGAAAGGAAGACATGTCAAAACTTTGTCTTGAACCCAATATGGTAAATGTAAGATTACATTTTAAATCATTGTAACAGTTCATCCTGGGGAAACTGGTGCTGATTAGTTAGCAAATCAGGTTTTGCTGCGGAAAAAGCAAGGCAATAGACTTGAGTTTGGAGAGCCAGTGGTTCCCTGTTGCTGCCTCCATGGTGATGCCTTGACAAATCAGAGTGGATTTGCCATCAGTTAGCAAACTTTTTTCTTTTTATATCAATTTGAAATTAGGCATTCATGTCTTTATGCTGATGAATGCAAGAGGAGATATGTTGGCAATGTATTTCTCTTCTCAGCAATAACTTAGTATGTCATCTTGCTTACCAGTTCCTACCTTTTTTTAACTTGCCGTCACTCCTAAGTTTTTGCATCCCTCCTCAGCCTTTCCACTTGCCACCTGTCTGAAACACAGCTGATTTTTGAAAATCCTTGCATCTCTGCTGAAATAACGTCAAATAAATAACCATCTTTTCCCAGACATTACTTGCTATCTTTCTGTTCCCTCATTGGGTGAGGTGCTGATCATTTATGCTGTTGCCATATAGCCTGGTTGGCTGCATTGACCAGGATTAGCAGAATACTCTGTATGTACCATAAATGCAGCATTAATAATCAAATGAGCAGCACTTGATGGGCTGGTATATAGTTAAAGTAGGGTGCTCAATTTAGAAGGAGCTTTGATGTGAACTGATAGCCAATTAGGAGGTGGACTATATAAGCAGCATAAGAATCGTTGGAGCTTAAGGAAGAAATCATTTGTACAAAATGAGCTAAACTTGCTTGAATTGCACCTCCAATATCGAAATCATCATAAGCGAAATTTGTAGAATTTAAATGAAACATCTCTGAGCTGGTTATTGCATATGGACTTTTCTATGCAGATGGTCATATTTGTTGAGCTTAAGAGTTAAGGATTCTTGCATGTGAATTAGGCCATTTTAAAAAATAAAAAAATCTATCCATTGATATAATTGCATAAAACCTTTTAGTGTACAGTCCTCATAGAAAATTTGATTTTGTTTTGTCCTTTGTCAACAGGTCATGGGTTACTTTTACATGGCCTACATTCATACCATTTCTACATGTTTTGAAACCTGCAGGGTGAGCATTGCGTTCTGATGTCTGTGATCAGTGGAGATGCAGTGGCTGTCATTCAGGATATGCAAGAACAGCAAGTGGCAGAATTATGTATGAGTGTCCTCCGAGAACTTTTTAAAGAAGAGGTAATAAAATGCAACATTAAAATACTATTAAAGAAAATGAAATGTTTTTCAAAATGCTTTTCCTTACAAGAGATCAATCTAAATTTTTGTGACTAGATATCGATACCTAGATGTATTCAAGCAACTGTCTGGGTAAATAACAGTATTGCAAGTAATAACATCTCCCAAAAGCAAAAATGGCACAGTCAGCAATTAAACCTAAATATCATGCTTGTGTTTGGATGAAAAGGGGGAGCAAGGCTACCATAATTAAATATTTTGAAGGCCTATTTGTGTTGATACATTCAAAAATGGTAGGTTTGTATGATTTATTAATTTCACTGGATGTTGTTTGCTTTAAATTTTCTTTATATCCAGAAGTTCTTGTAGATGAGAACAAAGAAAATAGGAGTTGGAGTGGATCATACAGCCCATTGTACCAATGTTACCATTCAGTAAAATCATAACTCTTCTGCATCCACTCCATTTTCCACCCTATCTCCTTGATTGCATTAGTGTCCAAAATTCTATCATTTAGTAATAATGAGCTTTTTTATGTCAAAATTCCAAATATTGGCAACTCTGAGTAAAGAAAGTTCTCCTCAATTCAGTCCTGAATGGACAAAATCCTATTCTACTCCTGAGAATGTGATCTATAGTTATAGTATTACATCTCACTGGGGTGGCATGCTGGAAATTGATCCCTACTATCCCTGGAGTTGTCATAAAAACTAAAGACTGTGTGCATACTTTCTAAAGATTCCTGAATTTACCTGGCTTTCAGACCCAGGTTGACAGCCCTGTACGTTTTAAAAAATGTATTATTTGTGACAAGTAACTAGATTTTACCTACAGGTAAACAATTATGAACTTTTGACCTACAATTCTACTAATGAAAACTCATCCCCTTATAAATTTCTACTTAAATGTGCACACACATACAGGGAGAAAAAAGGGTGTTATAGACCGAGGGGAAATCTGGTTCCTGTTCACAAGGATTGCTTGGATGATTCTTATGATTTGTTGTGCTGGTCAAAATTCTGCTCCACAGTCATCCTTCTCCCAAATACTGTTGCTGGTTTGCAAGATGCACAGGGTGGCTAGTTCACTTATGGAGGGCCTCTGACTTATCAATTTGAAGTCACAACTTACATCAATTGAAGTAAAAGTAAACTGGTTTTCTTCAGGCTTAAAGTGGTTTTTATTGCAGAGAATGGAGCGAGCTTCTGAGCTACAGGAGATTTGATGACTTCTGTGTTTCTTGTTCACAGCTCCAAGCTATTAAGCTACCTGAGAACTAATCACATTGTTATTGGCAGCAGAAGGCCTTTGTGATCGATAACTGGTCACTTGTCTACAGACCAATCAGCTACTTGTACCATCAAAAGCTCCACCTGTACACAACACCTTAGACCCAGTTTGTCTGCAATTACACTTTTTAACCATTGCTCAATATGCAGCTGCGAAAACTATCATTGCAATGAGTGTTAAGTTACTTGCTTTTAAAACATGCATCAGTCTTCCAGTAATCCTCTGGTTTTTAAAAGTTTAATTTCTCATTCAGTCAACAATGTAAAAAATATAGGAAAAGGAAAAAAAAGTTCAGCATCTACAATAAACAGTCGACTTAGAGAAATAAGCTCTCAAAATCTACTCTGTCAAGCCCTCTCAGAAGATTATCTTACCTCATGAATTAATGTACAGGCTTTCTCCAGGTTGTGAAGGGGTTCCATTTTTGACTCACTTCACAAATTAATTTGTACACAAGTCGGAACACCATGCCGGACAATATATTATAACCATTCTTGTGTATAAAAAAAAAAAATCTTCACAGGTCAGATCCTTTAAAATGATTACTAACATACTTCTCTATGGGATCATGTTCATAAGCATGAGCATGAGCGTATGTAAGTCGGGGAGCCCAGTCGTGAACCCCTGTATGGCAAGAATATTATCCCTTAGGTAAGGACACCAAAATTGTACACAGAGCACCAGTGTGCTGAGGTGATTGAATGAAAAAAATCCACATTCATTTGGAGAATGATCGTCATTAGTTAGGTTCGCGTTTATTACCCATTCCTATTAGCCTTGAAAAAGGTGCTCATGAACTGCTGCTTTGGACAGCCTTGGTCCATTTGGTATAGGTATTCCCATGAATCTGTTAAGGAGGGATTTCTTGGATTTTGACCCAGTGGTACTGCAGGAGTGTTGATGAATTCCAAGTCAGGATGGTGAATGGCTTGAAGGGAATATATAGGTGGTAGTGTCCCCAGGTATATGCTGTTCTTGTTCTTGTGCTTCTAAATGGTAGTTATTGAGTTTGGAAGATGCTGTCTAAGGAGCCTTGGTGAATATCTGCAATGCATCTTGTAGATAATGTTTCTGAACGTCAGTGGAGGGATGAACATTTGTGGATACAGTGCCAGTTGAATGACTGCTTTGTCCTGGATGGTGTCAAGCGCCTTGTATTGTTGGAGCTGCACTCATCCAGACAAGTGGGGAGTATTCCAGTCACGCTCCTGATTTGTGCCTTTTATGGATGGTGGACAGGCATTGGAGTTTTTTTTATTATTCATTCACAGGATGAGGGCATCGCTGGCTAGGCCAGCATTTATTGCCCATCCCTAATTGCCCAGAGGGCAGTTATGAGTCAACCATATTGCTGAGGATTTGGAGTTACATGTAGGCCAGGTAAGGATGTCAGTTTCCTTCCTGAAAGGACATTAGTTAGGTGAATTATCCATTGCAGGATTCCTAGACTCTAACCTGCTCTTTTAAACACAATGTTTACATGTCTCTTCCTGTTTGGTTTCTGGCCAGTGGTAACCCCTGGATGTTGATGGGGGGAATTCAGCAATGATAATCCATTGAATTTCAAAGGGTAATGGTTAGATTCTCTTTGGGTTGAGAAGGTCTTGCAAGAATGATCTCTACTTTTTGGTAAGTTTTCAACTTTGGCACTTTCCTTGAGAAATGACATTGATGTAAGCAGGACCTAAAATAACCAAGCACTTTATCACTTTTATACTAGTGTCACTCATCAGATGACCTTTAATACTCAATCTCTGTCTGCCTTTGGCAAGAATACTTACCAGCTGTACAAAGTAACCCTCCAAAGAAAGATGATGGGCTCTTGTGTTGCAGTGGTAGTGTCCCCATCTCTAAGCCAGAAGCCTGAATTCAAGTCCCACCTGCTTGAGAGGTGTGTCATAACGCATCTGGACAGGTTGAATTATACAAAATCTCCAAAGTAAGGTGACTTGAGAACAAATTGCACATGCGTAGCTACTTTTAACATGATAAAATATCCCTAGGCGATTCATAGTGGTATCAAATTGTCTAACAGTCATGTAAAGACACGTTGGGATTTTAAACATCATTTAAACCTGTTCTTACTTTTGTATAATCTGATTGATTTTGAGCCCAATTTGCAAAGAATGAAAAGACTTCATGGCAAATAATGTATTTTCATGAAATAATTAATTATGTTCTGAGGGTCTGTTGATCACATCAAAACTATATTACCAGACTTGTGTTTTAATGTCTAATTCAGACTATTGGAATGAGTCATCTTTACCAATGTTGGAGCTATATTGAAAGTAAAATTTGTTGACTTGCTCATATTTCATCAGGATATCTGGTGTAGGACAGGTTAGTGACAAGAAATTGTCACAATGCAGTTGAATGCTTACAGCCAAACTTTGGACTGCTATGCTGTGGTTGCTTTGCTTGCTGAGCTGGTTCGTTTGTTCACAGACGTTTCATTACCCTGCTGGGTAACATCAGTGCAGCCTCCGATGAAATGCTGGTGTGTTTTCCTGCCTAGTATTTAAACTTTGGGGTCTGTTGGATTTGATTACCTCATTTCCGGTTTACTCTCGCAGTCGTGTATGTATAAGGTCTAATTCTGTGTGTTTGTTGATGGCCTTCTTGGTGGAGAACCAGGCCACTAGGAATTCTCATGCTTGTCTCTGTTTCTTCTCTCAAATAGAGACAAGCACGGGAATTCTTAAAGGCCTCGTTCGCCACCAATAAGGCCATCAACAAGCACAGAACTAGACCACCACTGCGAGGGAAAACCAGAAATGAGGTAATCAAATCCTATGGACCCCGGAGTTTAAATACCAGGCGGGAAAACACAACAGCGCTTCATTGGAGGCTGCACTGATCACGTTACCCAGCAGAGGAATGAAATGTTGGCGAGACAACCAACCACAACATCCACAACCCGAGCTACAGATCTACTCCAAGAACCTTTGGACTGCTTTTTAGTTATGGGTATTATTACATTTTAAATATGTTAAATCTCCAATTGTTAATTAACAAAAGGCTTCATTAACTTGCATTCAATTCTTTTAATGACGAGTAAATTTTTAATTTATAATTGCAGGAGCTACATAAAGAGGTACTTCAGTGCTTTCTATTTTGAGCATTTGAGCCTCTCAACCTATTTAATATCTTAGCACTTAATATCATTACAGGAAGTTCCAGATCCAGTCAGATATTTTGTTACACACTGGAGCAAGGACCCATGGGCACAGATGGCTTACAGCTTTATAAAGGCAGGGGGAAGTGGTGAGGCTTATGATATAATCGCTGAAGATATACAAGGAAAAGTGTTTTTTGCTGGGGAGGTAAGCCGGTCATTCAAAATGCAATTGCCAATTTTTTGAACATAGTTTTTTTTAAAAAATATTTTCTTGTGTATTCCTATTTGTTCTAAGGTGCTTGTGAAGGAATTACTAAATCTAAAGAACAAAAAATGCATTTACATAGAGCTTTCAAATCCTCAGTACATGAGTACTTCAGTCAACTATGTGGAAGGTGTCAGTTTTCAAACATTGAAGGTTAGCCAAATGCTAAATTTAAAAAATGTTGTAGTCTATGGACTTGGTACACTTACGGCATTTATATGATGTGTAAGTTGTTCCCTAGCTGGTACTTGACTAATAAATGCATGGATTAATTTTAATGCCATGTATCTATCACAACTAAATTGACACACATTAATTGTAAATTAGTCTGACTGTGCAAACCTGACTGTTTCAGCTTCATCTGCCAGTAGTAATGGTATGATTCTGCAGCACTTTCACTAAAATATGTATAAGACAACCAGCTCTACTTGGAAAGTTTTTTTTTTTTGTAAATTAACAATGATGTAAAATCATAATTTTATGACTTATTCCCATGTTGTCATGGTTATTTTCTAATGTTTGTAGTCAGTTGTATTTATACAATGAGAAATAATTTTCTTTTACAAGCAATTAATTTTCTCTGTTTTATTGACATCCTGTTTTAACCACTGCCTGTATTTACAATTAATTTTAATCCTAGCTATTTTAATTCACCTTGAGATTGTGTCACTGGAAAGGTCTGCATTGGTTGCTGATCTCAAATTGCCCAAGAAAATGGTGACAAGCAACCTACTTTAACTGCTGCAATTCATGTGTTGTAGTTGCATTACAGTGCTGTTGGGTGTACAGTTTTGGATTTTTGAGCCAGCAGTAGTGAAGAAATATGTAGTGATGTAGTCCTAAGTCAGGATGGTGTATGTTTATATATATATATTAGTTGCAAGTGTTATTACCGTGTGCTTGGTGCCCAGTCCTTTTTGATGGAAGTAGTCATGGATTTGGAAGGTATTGTTGAAGGAGGCTTTTTAAGTTGCTGCAGTATACCTACCAGTGCACATTGCCTCAATGTGTGCAGTAGCAGAGGAGTTGAAAGTTTTTAAGGTGGTGGATGAGGTGAGAATCAAGCAGGCTGCTTTCTTCTAAGTGCTGCTGAACTCTGTTTAGAGCTACACTCATCTTGCCAAGTGGTGAGTATTCCATCAGATTCCTGACTTGTGTCTTAAGTAGAAGTCAAAGTTATTTCCTGCTTCTGCTCTTATGGCCATGATGTGGCTGGTCTAGATAGGTGAATATAACAGGGAAGTAGTTAGCTTCTGTATAGTGATATTTGATTTGTCATTTGTCGGCTCAAGTCTGTATGGAGGCACAGATTACTTCAGTCGTCATGAATGATACTCAATACAGTAATCATTCATGAAAATTTCCATTTGACCTTATCAAAAAAAGAAGCAGTTTAAGATGGTTGAGCTGATGACACAGGAATTTGTGCAGTAAAGGACAAGGTGATTGGGGTCCATGAATGACTACAGCCAATTTCCTTTCTGCCAGTTATCACTCAAACAAGTGTTGGTCCCTTGATTCTGCTCATTTTGATTGAACACTTGATTAAATGCTGTCTTGACGTCAGTGAACATCCTTAGCACCACCTCTGGATCTTAGTAATTTTCTCCAAAATTGGATTTTTCTTTTTAAATTCACTTGTGGGCTGGCCAGCATTTGTTGCCTTTGAGAAGGTGTACGTCAGGATATTTTGTGGATCCTCCAGCTAGTTGTTGAATCACTCATTGTTCAGGATTGCATGTATTTTAAATACAATTCTGGCTGTCCGTGCCTTGTGTACTATACTAATTTTTCAGTGCAGATGTCCATGCATGGCACTGACTTGGAAGTCAATGTGACATGTTGATGGCTGTCTAGTCACTGAGCTTAGGAGGAAACTGTGTAGGTCAGTTCTGAATTTCCCATTTAGCACCAATGTAGTGCAAACAAACAACAGATCATGGGAATTCTTAACCAGGACTGTTGGTCACTCCTACCACTAATGAGACTGGCATATTTGATTGTGGATTTGTCACTTGTTTTCACATCTAACAGTAAATTGACTTGCTTGAAAGATACTATCTAAACGTTGTGAAGTAAAATCTCTTATATACTTCAATTTGTGCAAAGCAGGTATGGTCTTAACAGCAAACTATGAAAGCTACAGACCCAAGTATTATGATCAAAAAAAACTGCGTCCTAAAAATATCTTTGAAAATACTGGAAGGTTGTTCAGCATAAGGTAGCTCGGTCAGCACCTGACATTAGTACAAAAATTTGATTTGAAACAAAAGAAAGATGGGAAAATGAAACCTAATAATTACATTTTAGATGGATCTGGTTTGCAGTTCCAATTTGTAATATTGCTTTTAGCTTTTAAAATAACCAGGCTTTTGCATAGACCAGCAGCTGTATAGGTTGAGAACAGTTGCTGCACATTAGTGAAATCAAGTTGTTTAACAAGCAATACTCCAGAACATTTTTGTCCATTTCACTCAAGTTTAAAAATGCATTTCTTCTTTTTATACAGGCAACTAATCGACACTTCCCGCAAACTGTTACTGGGGCCTACCTGAGTGGAGTCAGAGAAGCAAGTAAAATTGCTACATTGTAAAAGATGACTTTGTAATTTATAACTTAAGCCACAAGAAGAAAGGTGTACATAGTAGAGATTCTGCACTTCTAAAATTATTGCTGATTCCTATGCAGGTCTCAAATTTTAAAGATCACGGAGAAATTCTTTGCAAAGCTGGTGTTTGAGCAATATTATGTACAAAATGAATATTACTTTCAAACTGTCAACAAGTGGCAAAACCTCACATGAAGACAGGGAAAACCATACCAATGGAATACTCCAGTTCCATTTATAGATGGTGTGAGCAAAGCCTCCTTCACACTAATTTATTTGATAAAGTTACTGAGCAGGGTTCACAATGTTAACAAGTGGTTGTACTTGACAAGAGTCACCAGTTACTTCACAGGATTTGAACTATGCAGTTTGTGTTTTGTACAATTAGCATCTTTTGATTCTAATATGTTAAAATAGTTGTTGCAAAAGCTGACCAGGGAGAGTGGAAATGGCTAGTTAAGGAAACATTCAATTTTGGCCGTCTGAATTCCAGCAATTAAAAATCAGTCATCCAGCAAACAATGAAGAATACTATTTTAAGATAAAATATAAACTGTACTCCTTTACACTTCGTTTACTAAACTAAAGCTGGTTTCTTCCGGGAAGGGTTTCTAACACTTAAAGCACCCACTTAACCTGCTGGGACAAATCCTGTTGCTTTGAAATTGCTGAGCAGTAGCATAATGCACCTGAGACAGAAGTAGCATCTCTGGAACAAGTCACAATGTCAGACTGAGGTAAACTATAATCTAGTCTCCACCCTATTTGAAAAGCTGAAATTTGAGGCAGACTTCATTAGAATGATAAATGAATAATTTCTTTCATTTAATAAAGCTCCTGTGATTTGTGCAGCAAGACTGACTGACTGCCTTTTCTACTCTGTTAACCTGGGCTATTTATTCTATTGTAAAGTGTATAGAATGGGAAATGCAAGGATAATCATCCTACTTGAACAAGGACAAAGCTCCTGCATCTTTGATTTTATATGTGGTAAAATACAGGATTTTCTGGACCTGTAATTTTTTAAAATCCTGTATATAACTTGATGTAAATATTTAGTTCATAATCCGATCACCTGTCTGCAACCAACAAATAAATAGTATGGAGTCAGATTCTGTTGAACAATGAGTTATGCAAGATCAGTAAGATAGTTTTATTTACCAAGCAAGTGGACTAAATTAGTCTCAAACTCCATTACTAAGAGCTCAGGTATTTCACTCTTAACAGCTGTCCTCCTATTCTACTAGTCAATTATACTCGACTGAAATGATACTAATATGGTGAAATGTATCTAATTTGTTGCAAAATTCAAGCCAGTTGCATAAGTACCAAAAAAATGCTGTTTACTCTGCCAATGAGTTTTTCACAACCACTTCAAGTCAGGGATCAGTAATACTCAAGATACCAATCTACTGCGAATGCCTGTTAAGTGATATTTATGTTCTATGTTGTACTAGTTATTTCTGCATCTGGTTTTCAATGTAAATTGCATATCATGACATAGCAGAATATCAGTGTCCACCTTATAAGGACAAAAGGTACAACTGTAACATCTGGTCTACCAGTTTCAATACTAAAATTTGATTTGAGATTTAAGTAAACTGATTGGTTAGTTCATTTGGTGCTTAAATCCCAGAGTAGACAGAACAAAAATTCCATCAGGAATACCTTTGTATTGTGATAACATTTAATTGTTAGTTAATGCAACTCAGTTCCTGTTTTGAGCATTTGTTTCTCATCATTTTAAATGGGCTTGCAAGATGGATGTTCTGCTTTTTCCATTAGAAAGATTACTTTCTGTAAAGCATTAATGATTTTGAAATGTCATTTGTTCATCAAAAGGTGCTCAAGTAAAATTAAAACATGAACTGCCTTTTCTTTTGTGTACAAAGTTTTATTTACTCTTGGGGAATTGGGGCAGAAATTGTTTAACAATCTTCAATAAGTTCTACAATATAAGAACGTAACTTACAGAAGTATACATACTGCATCGCCAATAAAACCTCCCCCTGACAAGATTAAAACCGTAGCCTTACACTGAAGATGTTTAAATACAAAAACAAAGGTAAAAATTAAACTGAACAGAGCACATGCAAATGTGTGGCAACTTAAAGCTACAGAACAGGCTAAAATATTTTTTTCCCAATTCATTTAGCTGGATTCTAGCTGGTGAAAAACAAGACCTGCTTAACCTCTAAGCAATGAATGTACTAGGTAATTTTATTCACAGCTCTAGATTCAAATGTACACTTTCAAACATTTAAAAAAGCTAGTAAAGTAACATAAAATTCAAGTCTTAAAAGTCAGATCTATAGCAATTAGTTGAAAGATGTTCAATTTACATTGACATGAGACAGATTCAACATAAATCTCACTGGTTTACAAAGAAATACATTCTCTTCTCTTTGTGCTGGTGCTTAACAATCCCGCTTCTCAATCCATAGGAACATGGTAATGGTGCGTTCTTAACACTTGAACTAGGAGGAGTTTCATCACGAAATCAACTGAAAAAAATAAACATACTATTTACTAATGGGCTAATCATGAATATATTTAAAATTGTGGAATACACAACAAACATCAACTCAAGTTTATAATCATCACTGCACCAAGTCTTACTTTCTTTCGGCCTTTTCACTGACTGCAACTCCTACCTGTTAAGGTTACAGATCTGACTGATGGCAGAGAATGTGAAGATGTGTAGTAGTTCCTCTTAGGTACCTTAAAACTAGAGGGAGGAAGGTGATTCTTCTCAGCTATTTTCTACCTATGATAGGCATTACTACATAATTTGGAGCATGCTTCTGAAAATTAGTCCAACAGCCAACATGAAGATCAGTGTTGTTGACTCAAGGAATACTAAGTTCACTTAGTTATTTTTCATTGGTTAATTCCATTCCTGGTTTTAGTAAAGGGGGGAAAGTCAAAGAACTAACCCTTGATATAGTTCATAACAAACAGATTTATAGCATTCACCTCAAGTTAATTGAAACAAGTGATGCCTCCAAAAGCAGAGAACTCTGAAAAGCAATTATTATAAAATGCAAAATGTGATTGACAGAAGTACAGCGAGGAAGATAAGAGTGCTAAATGCCATTCTCCAATTTTAAAACTGCTTTGCTCCATTATTGCTCAGTTGGCCAAGTTAATAGCTTTTAATATTTACTCCAACCACAACAAGTACATATTCACTGACCCAGATAGGTTTTTGTCCTGGGGCTAGGGTACTGACGCCAATGTCTTAGTTATTAGATTTACCAAGGCTTTAATTGGGGGAGTAGTGTTGATTTGACAAAGGGGAAAAGTAAGCTTACAAAGCAAGAGGATAGGGTAGCTGTTTCGATAATGATAGCCAGAGTGTGACAGGAAGGAACCAAATATGCAAACAAAAAAACAGCAACAAAAGGGATAAAATAAAGGGGGCTCTTTATTCAAAAAGAAAATAGATGGATTGACTGCACAATGTGGGTGAACAGTATGATCTTACAGCCATGATTACAAGGAGATCAAAGCTGGGACCTAAATATTCAAGGGTACATGACTTTCCAGAAGGATAGTAGGAAGGAAAGGGTGGTGCGGTAGCATTGTTGGTATGAAACAGAATATGTATGATCACAAGAAACCGTCTTGTGGCAGAAGATGTAGAATCCATATGGATGGGGGTTAAAAAGAAAGAAGACACTAGCAGTTGTCTGTAGGCCCCCAAATAGTAGTTGTACAGTGGGATAGAAAAAAATCAGGAGATAACGAGGGCACATAACAAAGGCACAAGTGACTTGAATCGTCATTTGTTGAAAATCAAATTGACAAAAGGAAGCCACGAGAAGAATTCGGACTACATTCGGGAAAGCTTCCAAGAACAATATTTTGTGCATCCAACCAGAGATCAGGCTATTTTAGATCTGGTGACGTGTAATGCAGCAGGTATATTAATATCATAGGCAAAGATTCCCTTGAAATAGTGATCATAACATTGAAGAATTTGGGTTGGAAACAACAGTATTACGCTTAAATACAGGCAAGTACAAAGGAATCAGGGCCTGGCTGGAGTGGACAGGGAAAGGAGTGTAGCTGAAGAGGCAGTTGAGGGACGTTGGCAGACGTTAAAGAAGAAATGTTAATGGATCACAGTAAAGGCATATTTTTAGTGAGGAAGGGGCTAAGTCATTGATGGTTAATCAGGGAGGTTAAGGATAGCCATTAGATTGAAAACAAAACTGACAATGTGGCAAAGATTAGTAGCAAGCCAGGGAATTGGAAAAGTTTAAATTTTAAAAAAAGAGAACAAGTTTCTTTCATTATAATGAAAAGAAAGTCAAAGTGAATATGAGCCCCTTAGAGAAGGAGGCTGAGGAAGTAATGGGAATCTAGGAAATGGCAAAGGAGTTGAAGCAACACCTTCCATCAGTCTTCACCGTAGAAGATACTAACAGCTTCCCAAAATTACTAAATAGTCAAGGGGCAAGAAGAGGAAGAGGAGGAGAAATAAATAGAAATATCACTACAGGAATAAGTGCAAGGGAAACTAATGAGGTTAAAAGACAAATGAGACCCTTGGACCTGATGGGATGCATCAAAGACATTGAAAGGAAACAGATAGTGGATGCACTGGTTGTAATTTTCCAGGAATCCTTAGATTCTGGAAAAGTCCCTGAGGATTGGAAAACTGCGAATGTAACATCTTTGTTAAGAAAGGAAAGGAGACAAAACAGTGGCCGGTGAACCATGCAACTGGTGAGGATGACAGTCAGCACAAGTACACAGACAGGCTAAGCTAGTGGACAAAAATTTAGCAAATGGAATACAATGTGGGGAAGTGTGAAGTTATACACTTTGCCAGGAAGAACAGAGGACCTGAATATCATTTAAATAGAGGAAGACTGGCAAAAGCTACAAAATAATGGGATTTGGGAGCCGCAATCCATGAATCAAAGAAGCTAGCCTCCAGGTTCAGCGGGTAATAGGAAAGGCAAATGGAATGCTCATCTTCAAAGAGGAGGAGTATAGAGGTAGACAGCTTTTGATAAAACCATAAAGTGCACTAACAAGATCACTGCTGGAATAGAAGAACATAGAACTGTACAGCACAGTACAGGCCCTCCGGCCTACAATGTTGTGCTGACTTATTATCCTACTAAGATCAATCTACCCTACATTTTACTATCCCCCACGTGCTATCCAAGAGTCGCTTAAAAGTCTCTAAAGGATACGACTCCACTACCACTGCCGGCAGTGCATTCCAATGCCCACCACTCTCTGTGTGAAGAGCCTACCTCTGACATCTCCCCTATACCTTCCTCCAATCACCTTAAAATTATGCCCCCTTGTAATAGTCATTTCCACCCTGGGAAAAAGTCTCCGGGTATCCACTCTATCTATGCCTCTCATCATCTTATTCACCTCTCATCCTTCTTCACTCCAATTAAAAGAGCCCTAGCTCCCTCAACCTGTCCTCATAAGACCTGCCCTCCAGTCCAGGCAGCATCCAGGTAAATCTCCTCTGAACCCTCTCTAAAGCTTCCACATCCTTCCTATGATGAGGTGACCAGAACTGAACACTATTCCAAGTGTGATCTAACCAGTTTTATAGAGCTGCAGCATAACCTCACAGCTCTTAAACTCAATTCCCCTGCCAATGAAAGCCAACACACCATATGCCTTCTTTACAACCCTACCAACTTGGGTAGTGACTTTGAGGGATCTATGGACATGGACCCCAAGATCCCTCTGTTGCTCCATGCTGCCGAGAATCCTGCCGTTAACCCTGTATTCTGCATTCAAATTCGACCTTCCAAAATAAATCACTTCACACTTTTTTGGGTTGAATTCCATCTGCCACTTCTTTGCCCAACTCTGCATCCTGTCAATGTCCCGTTGCAACCTTCAACAGCCCACCACGCTGTCCACAACTCCACCAACCTTCGGGTCATCAGTAAACTTACTAACCCACCCTTCCACTTCCTCATCCAAGTCCTTTATGAAGATCACAAACAGCAGAGGTCCCAGAACAGAACCCTGCAGAACACCACTGGTCACTGAGCTCCAGACTGAATACTTTCCATCTACTTTCACCCTCTGTCTTCTATTGGACAGCCAAATTTCCCTGAATCCCATGCCTCCTTACTTTCTGAATGAGCCTACCATGTGGAACCTTATCAAATGCTTTCTACTCACTTCCCCTTAAATTGTCTTCTTGCTCAGCTAAAGACACCAGTTTTTAATGGCCAGGCAATCAGTTGGTCTCTGGGACAACACTGTGCGCAGTTTTGGGCCCCATATCTCAGGAAGGACGTACTGGCCCTGGAGTGGGTTCAGAGGAGGTTCACGAGAATGGTCCCAGGAACGGAAAGCTTAACATTTGAGAAACATTTGAGGACTCTGGGACTATACTCATTGGAGTTTAGAAAGATGAGGGGGGATCTAATTGAAACTTACAGAATACTGAGTGGCCCGGACAGAGTGGATGTTGGGAAGATGCTTCCATTGGTAGGAGAGACTAGGACCTGAGGGCACATCCTTAGAGTAAAGGGAAGACCTTTTAGAATGGAGATAAGGAGAAACTTCTTCAGCCAGAGTAGTGAATCTACGGAATTCACTGCCGCAGAAGGCTGTGGAGGCCAGGTCATTGAGTACATTTCAGACTGAGATAGATAGGTTCTTGATTATCAAGGGGATCAAGGGTTATGGAAAGAAAGCAGGAGAATGGGGTTGAGGAACGTATCAGCCATGATTGAATGGTGGAACAGACTCCGGCCGAATGGCCTAATTTCTGCTCCTATGTCTTATGGTCTTATCTTTCGGCAAAACAGAAATTCAGGTAGGAGACGGGCTTGCTCCTTACAAGTAACCTCTGCTGCTACACATGGATGTAAAAAATGAATGGAACTTATATTTATGCCACACCTAACCACTGGGTAATTTTCAACTATGCCATATGAAATTTAATTGAATGAAGACTGAATGGGTTCTACAATTAGTGAGTAATCCTTAGCATCAGGTTAGAGTCCAGGTAATCCCTCAAAGACCTCTAAACTGCAACATGTGCATGTTTCTTATCAAGGTTCACCACTATAAATGTCCATGTGTATAATTACAATGGTAATTGCCTTTGATAAGCCTTTCAGAATGTACCATTGCAGGTCCCTTATCTAAGGAAAGATGCATGGTCTTTGGCCCAGTTTAGACAAACTTCACTAGCTGATATCAGTTATGGAGGGATTGTTTTAAGAGAAGACATTGACTAGTTTGTGTCTGTACTCATTCAAATATACAAGAGAGGTGACCTTACCTAAGCATGCAAGATTTTTAGGGGTTTTGACAGGGTAGACGCAGAAATGCTTTTTCCCCGTACTTGCAAGTCTAGCACCACAGGACAATCTTAGAATAAGAGGTCGCACATTAAAGACAGCTGAGAAGGAATTTCTCCCGAGGGTTGTGAATCTGTGAACTTCTTAGCTACAGAGGGAAGTTAAGCCTGGGTCATTAAGTATGGTCAAGGTTGAGATAGGCAGATTTTTAAATGGCTGAGGAAATCAAAAGTTATTGCCAAAAAGACAGGAAAGTGGAGTTGAGAATGGTCAGACCAGACACAATCTCACTGAATTGTGGAGCAGACCCAATGGACTCAATGGTCTACTTCTGCTCTTACGTCTTATAGCTACAAGCAAAATTTGTGGTATATTGATCTGATTTATAAACGGACATTAAAAAGTACACATACACATTCATGACCGCTTAAACAAGTCAGGAGAGGCAAGTATTCTCAATAAGCTTACCATTTTTACATAGATGCATTTTCTTAAATTGCCCTTTTATACTGAAATTTATCCCAAATCACATTAAAAATTGTTCCTAGCCTTTAGCCTGAAATCAGGCAATTATAGTGTCAGGGTCATTTTTGGTCTATCAATCCTGTTAGCCCCACACCCTCTAAATCCTTGTAGCCATGTAGGTTTATTTCTTTCAAGCGCACATCCAATTTCCTTTTGAAATCATTAACTGGAATCTACCCCAATGCCCAGTTAGTTTCAATCACAAATTTTCACTTATCAATGCAACATTAAATCGCAGATTCATTAAATAAAGAGTAAATACTAGATTTAGAGAACTGAATACATACCTCTTTCACAGTGTTCTTGACGAAATCTTTTTTGTCAGAGAGGTCATAATCTGGATAGCTGGCAAATACCTAAATAAAACAGAAAATTCACTTTAAGTGCTAAAGAACAGTACATTAGAAATATCAGTGCTGAAAACAAATAAAATTTTGTCTATAAAAACAAAGGCCTATAACACAGTGGCAGGTTCCTCTGTTTGATTCTAGCCTTGGGTGACTGTCTGTGTGGAGTTTGCACATTCTCCTTGTGTCTGCATGGGTTTCCACTGCCTCACCTTAAACCTATGATTTGGGGCAGCACAATGGCTCAGTGGTTAGCATTGCTGCCTCACAGCACCAGGGGCCTGGGTTCAATTCCACCCTTGGGCGACAGTGTGGAGTTTGCACATCTCTCTGTGTCTGCGTGGGTTTCCTCGGGGTACTCCGGTTTCCTCCCACAGTCCAAACATGTGCAGGTTAGGTGGATTGGCCATGCTAAATTGCCCGTAGTGTTCAGGGATGTGTAGCTTAGGTGGGTTATAAGAGGTCTGGGTGGGATGCTCCAACGGTCTGTGTGGACTTGTTGGGCTGAAGGGCCTGTTTCCACACTGTAGGGATTCTGTGTGAATGAATAACCTAAGAGGGACAATGATGCCATTCAGCACATTTCAAAGTATAAAAATATCTGTATATACGAACTGCCAATGAACAAGCACTAAACTGAGCTCATTGCTGATTTGCTGATGTGACCATCTACCCCATTCACATTAATCCACAGTCCCCTACTTCAACAAGTGAGCGTACAGGATACGGACACCCTCACCTACATGAACTATGAAGCAAACAGTACACCGGCAAGAACGGATGACGCTTCAATATCAGGTTACTTCCAATCATCATAAATCCAGTTTCTTATTTGGGGAAACTGTAAAACCTATGGTTACCAGAAAGCAATTCAAGTTTGTTCATTTAGTATCCCATACAATTAGTAACAGGGTACACCGTCCCACAACAGAGAATTGAGACAAACAATAAGAAATGAGCATCTATCTTAAGCTTACTTGCAACAAAGTTAAGGTCTAGTGATCTTAAGGTCTTTCACAGATTAAGGTCTTTCATCAGTGGCCAAATATTTAAGTCTTGCCTTTGACCATTTAATCCCCAAAACAAGCAGTTTTGTCACTTGTAACACCATAGTGTACAAGGCTACAGGTCAAATGTTAGAAAATGGAATTAGAATAGGTATAAGTTTGATGACCAGCCCAGACAAGACGGACCAAAGGGCTCCTTTCCATGCTATAAAAACTGACTAGGAATGCGAATGTGCATTTCTGAAATGACTCAAAATAGAAATGACTTTTAAATTCATGACTCACCCAATACATCAAATGCTGAAAATCTATACTTTTTACTCTTGGGTTCCTTTGCATGTATCATATTTAAGAATGATTTTGTATAGAGATGATTTAGAACTGGAAAGTACAAGAATTGAATACAATGGAAATGCCTACACTGGTTAGATGTCAAACATGCTAGAAGCAGTGAGAATGGATGGAGTTCAATAATTTATGCTGAACATTCCGTAATATCTGACTTATCATTTTAAAAATCAGGTTATGTTGTATCATGACAAAGTAGTTCAAACATGCCACATATGGTACAACGTGAAAATAATTTTAAAATTAGTTGTATTCCATTAAAATCTATACAACTGAATGCCATCTAATGTTATCTGTAAAGATATCACCAGACTAAATCTTGCAGGAGTTATCATTTCTTTGCACAACTAGATATTTGTGTTGCTGAATTCATATTCTTTTTCTTCTGGTTTTTGCATTAAGAAAAAGCTACTGCAAAACAAAATCTTCAATTCTTGACCAATTCTCTCTGTATTGGACTTTGCAGTCAGTGGCAAAATGGTTACACTCACAGGTAACTTTGAAACACATTGCCTACAAGGACTTTTAGATTGTAGATTTTACTATTCCTGACTATTTCACTCCACCATCACCTCAAGGAGATCCAGCAACTCTCATGTCATCAAGCAGACCAAGCAGTAAACCAGGTTAAAAAAAAAGGCATTATAAAGATTATATCATATTCATAGGACCAAGGTGGATGTCACATCAAATATGCTTTATGCCAGTTTAAAAAAAAACTTGGCTGCATCTCATTAAACAAGTTGCAACTTGCCCCCTCCGCCACCAAGGGTTTTTACAGAAAGACCAATAGTACAAATTTAGGAGATTTCATCTACAGAGACTTCAACATGTCACAGTTGGGTGTGAGAGAAAAATTGCTGACAGCAATGTATGTATTTCCATGTTTAAACATCTAGTGATCAAGAAATTGCAGCTCGTTTAAATATAATTTCACCATTACCAAAATTTGACAATTAATTGACTCTTGCAGTTTTTAAGACTTCTAAATGCTTAATCATTTAAATAGACTAAAAGCCCAAGTTCTCTCTTCTTCAGTACTGAGCTTGTTAATATAAAAGAACCATTGCCTCAGATTCCAGTTAAGTTTAAAGAAAAAACATAATTCACCTTTTTGCAGATTTGTTTCATTGTGACTTCTTCCAAGTTTGCATCAACCAATAATTTCATGACTGTTTCCTTCAATTCCTCATCTGTAGGTGGTTTTTTAAGTTTCTTAATCAGAGGTTCATCATCTGAACTATCTTCAGAATCACTTTCTGGGAAACAATGACAAGATGCAAATGTTGCAAAATAAACAAAATGCTGAATGCAATTGTACACCATTTTAGACCATTTTTTGTTAAACTGTTCAAATATGATACACTTTACAAACATTTCCCAGCTGTCATTGCTCAATTTAGCTTGGTTTTAGAAGCTCAAGTTGACTTCTCAGGAAGTGGACATGGTTGGGAAAGAAAAGGTTACATAAGGTGTAAGACTTCATAGTTGATCAATGTAGAAAAAAGGATGTACTTTTAAAGTGAAGATTCAGTCAATTCCAGAGTTATGACCAAATACAAACCATTCCAGGTGTAAAAAAATAATAGTCGATACAGTGTAGAGCTGGAGGAACACAGCAGGTCAGGCAGCAGAGGAGCAGGAAAGTCAACGTTTCAGGTCGGGACCCTTCATCAGGACTCTGATAGTCATATACACCAGCATGAGTCACAGGCACAGATTCCTGCCATTTGGAATTCCAAGAGGAGGCCACAGAAAAGAATGGTCTCAATTAAAATAATTTTTGTATTTTTGTCTTTTTGGTAATGATTTCTTGCCTCCATTTTAATTTTTTGGAATTCAACATTAAACAGTTATAAATGAGACTTGCAATGCCATTGCTTAGCTTACCACTGAAAAAAAATTCAGGTCAGTTCAGTAACAGTTCTCTTGTTTCTGAATTGACCTGTTTCTTTGCACATTACGGCTTACATCTATGGACAGTCACAGATTAATACATTCTTTTCCAGCCTATGCTGAGGGGAGAAATATCAGTCACTAATATTTATCAAAGTGTAACAGCACAGTAGTTAAATGAAGAATTCACATCAGCAACACTGGAGAGCAAGACATAGAACATAGAACAGTACAGCACAGTACAGGCCCTTCGGCCCACAATGTTGTGCCGAACTTTTACCCTAAACGTGAGGTCTATCTAACCTCCATTCCTCCTTATACATCCAAAAACATTGCTGATCAATTGTTAACAAGAACGATTTTCCTCTGGAATTAGCATTTATTCAACACCATATCGTTGACATCACAGTACTCTAAGATTTTTAAAAATATTATTTCAAATTTTAAAACAATTTTTTTTTTTACCAAGAAGAAGCCAGATACTTCATTTTCAGTAGAATTCACAACAAGCTATTTACAGAGCGCCTTTAATGTCCCATGGTGCTCCACAGAAGCTTCATAAACAAAGCATTGTGCCAGTACACACAAAAAAAATTAGGTAACCAGAAGTAGGATGTCTTAAAAGAGGAAACGAAAGAAGTTCAGAGTTCAGAGTTGATACAACGGAAGTGAAGTGAATGGTGAAACAACAAATGGTGCTTAACAGCCAGAATTAAATAAACACATTAAAATTGTGGGTTTGGAAGAAAGAGGCAGGGACAGTAAAACCATGGCAGAATTTGAAAACAAGGTTGAAGAGTTTTAAAATTAAGATGTTACTTGACCAGCAGCTGTACAGATCAGCAAGTACAGAGACTGGAACTTGGGAGAGTGTTTGTACATGGGTGAGTGTGTTTCGGACAAGTTCAAGTTCATGTAGGGCAGAATATGGAAAGTCAGCCAGTAGTGTTGGAATACTCAAAACTAAAAGCAACAAAGTCACGAATGAGGGTTTCAGCAGATATGTGGAGACAGAGACAAGGTCAGGTGTTATGAAAATGGAAATACTTGGATTTAGTAATGGCACAAACATACAGTCAGAAGCTCAAAGATTGATTCTGACAAAGTTACAAACAGAAAGGTTTCCACAGTTAACAAGGAGGGGGTGGAGTCAGTGAGGGACTAGTGCTTGCAACAGGAACCAAAACAATGGTTTTAGTCTTTCCAATATTTAGATTGTATTAAATTTCAGCTCAATTAGTATTGGACGTTAAGTCAGCAGTCTGATAATTTAGTGGGGGTAGGATAGAACTGGGTGTCACCAATGCATACATGATACAAACATTCTGATTTCAGATCATGTTGCCAGAGGGCAGCATTTAGATAAGAAACAGGTGACAGCACAAAAGATATCTGCACAGGAACAATCAGAAAAGCCATCACAAATGATACTCTGAACACAATCAGACCATCAAGAACAAACAGGCAAGAGAAATCCCAGCCAGCTATTAACAGTAGACACACTTGATGAATGGTACAGTCAAATGTCAAAGTCTGAAGAAAAGTCAAGAGGAACAAGAAGAGATGGTTTACTTTTATCACTATCACATAAGGTATCATCTCTGTTTATAAAGCTGAGTTTCAGTACTGTGGCAGGAGTGGAAATCTGATTGGGATGATTAATACATGGAGACCTGGGGAAGATGGTCACTGATTTAGGGAGGAAACAAACCTTTGAACATCACTTTGCAAAAGAAAGGGAAAATGGAATTTAGGTGACAGTCTACGAGGAAAATAGGGTGAAGGGCTAATTTGTGAGGGTAGAGACAATGACAGCAGAATTCAAAGGATACAAGCAACATCATCAGCTAACAAGGGTACTAGGAAGGGTTGTGGAAATAGTGCTGAGGGAACAGGAGGTGGGGAAAATATGTTGGAATGGCATTATGGGAGATATGATAGGAAATGGGGTTGTGTATGGTTGTGTAAATCAGTAGCTGCAGAAATGTTATGACAAACTGAGAAGATTTTGAAAGTGCCGCTGTCTCTGAATTTGGGTATTTTTACAAAGTGACATTTGAAATTTGACAATACAGCCAGAGTCAGCATTTGCTACCCTTTTCATTTGTCCTTGAAGTGGTGGCCACCTTCACCCTCAGCAGTCCACAAGACATAGGGACACCCATAGTGCTGTTTGGAGGGGTGCTCCAGAACTGTGACGAACTAATCAAAGGAGGCTTGATGAGTTGACACAGTGCATCTTGTGGATGAAACCTATTGCTCCCACTTTGCACCACTGGTGGAGGGAGGGAATGTTGAAGGTAGTGGATTGTGTGCCAATCAAGCTGGCTGTTTTGTCCTAGATGGTGTCAAACTTCAAGTGTTGCTGGAGCTGCACTATCCAGTTAAGTAGATATTCCATAGGTATTCCAGAACACTCCTGACTTGTGTTTTGTAGATGGTGAACAACCCATCTGGTTCACTAATGTCCTTTGGGGGAAGGAGATCTGCCACCCTCACCTAGTCTAGCCTTCACGTCCAGACCTACAGCAGTGTGGTTGACTCTTAACTACTCTCTGGGCAATTAGAGTAGGGCGATAAATGCTGGCCTAGCCAGTGATGCCCTCATCCCATAGACGAATTTTAAAAAAAGGCACTGGAGATGAGGTAACGAGTTACTGGTAGCAGAGCTCCTAGTCTCTGACTTGAATTTGTAGCCACAGTATTTATTTGGCAGGTCAAGTTTGGTTGAATATACAGGGTTGATGATTAGATTCTGTTTTATTGAAGATGGTTATTCATAGCATACAAATGACATAACATTGCCTGGCACTTAATCAGCCCAAGTCAAAATGTTATTGCATATGGACATGGAATTCTTCAGCACTGGATGAGTCACAAATGGTATCGTTCACTTGCAAAAGCAAACAGTTCTACTCTTCACCTGATGGAGAACTGGAAGGTGACTGACAAAACAACTGAAGGTGACTGGGCTGGGACTCAACACTAAGGAACTCCACAGCAGAGTTCTTTGGCTGAAGTGATTGGCTCTGATCAATGAAAAGATTTTTGCTGATTTTCACTGACTTCAATTTTACTTAGCTCCTTGATGACACACACAGTCAAGTGCTGCCTTGCTATTCAAGGGCAGTTACTCTTACTTCTCATTAAATATGATTGGGACATGGAAGTGGGAGGAAATGATGAATGAAACAAGGAAGTGATCAGAGATGGCCTTATATCTGATTGATATGATAGGTAGATTGGAGACAGTAATCCTGAAAATTGTAACAGCAGGAAATTATTTCTTATATCAGGCTAAAAACAAGAATACTAGTCACCTGGTTGCAACAAACATTTCTTAAATGTTATAAAATGGAAACAGACAAGACTAAACCTACAAAATGACTAGTTTCTCATGACCGGGGTGACAAGATAACTTGTGGCAAAATCCTAAGTGATGTGACACCATACATCAACAGCTTTTAATTTCTGGCAAGGAATCTTAATGGAAGGTTACATTCACACTGTCAGTGAAGATCCTGGTTATTGGTAAGCATTCAAATTTAAACTAAATGACAGAATCATGAAGTCTATGGCACAGGGAGAGGCTACTTGGCTCAGTATGTCTACACCAGAATCAGTTTCTGCCACATTACAAAATTAAATGGATGTTAATTTGAATGGATATTGATTAAATACGTGATGTTTTCCCAGTACCGTTTATTCTTTATCGAAAGGAAAAGTTTCTGGAAGCATTATTGCTTACAGCTTGATGTATATAATATGACATCCTAGATCTGTCTTTTTTACTCTTTGACAGGAAAACTCCATGAAATGGTTTACAGCATATTTCTCCTACACTAAAAACAAAACTCTCCCCACCACATAATTTTAGTCTGCATGTAAAATGATATATTTAAAAAGATTTACTTACTCTCAGCTAGCCTCCCAATCGAAGCCACCTTTTTAACGCCACTGCCCATGTCTAGGGAACAAAATTATATTAAACGGGAACTAGGTGGTGCAGCAAGTTGAATACTATCCTTTTATTTACGAGATCTGGGTTCAAATTTCAGCAAAGCACGAAGGACAGCAAAGTTTCTTCCTGCCAGTTATAGGCATACAGGGTAGTTTCAATTCAATACTGCTCACTAGATCAGCAACTGAATTTAAGTCACAAGGAGTGAAAAGAATTGTGGAAAATTCACTAATATAGAAGAGGACTGTGCTAAAGTCAGGCGAGGGAACGGGGTCACACAGAAGTTTCATTCTATATCTTAACCTACATAAAACTGATGCAATATTGATGCAGAATAGAATGTTTTCCATTGTTTACAAAATGAACCCCTTTTCACTTCAATGAGAACAACACTGTAAAAATATTTGCCAAAACATTCTGGTACAGTGAGCTACTTGTGTGCATTCAAATTTTCAGTTTTAAAGGAAAACATGAGACTGTTGCCTTCCTCTCTCATGTATTTGGGTCGGGAGAGGGGAGAGAGGCAGCAGGTGGAAGCAAGAAAAGCAGGGGTTGATATTAGGAAAACTGAGATTGTTGTTTTGGTTTTAGAAGCTGCAAACTATGCCTCAGTAACACTGGAGTGACTTAAAGGACATTTCTTAAACAATGAAGATCTTTTTTCCAGGAAACCACTTTTCCCCTCTCAACCAACATCCCAAAATTACAGCATCCTTTGTTCATTAATGTATTGTTTGCTACAGTCGGTATTAGATAATTACCCTTCTTGGCAGGAGCTGGAGTTTTCTTTGCAGTACTGCTGTCAGCTTTCTTCACATTTGTTGCTTTAGTATTTTGTCCCTTCTTGCCTTTAGGAACAGCTTTTGATGTTGATTTCTCTTTTTTAGACGCTTTCTTGGGTGGCTAGAAGAGAAAAAAACAAATGAACAGATTTTCGATTTTTTTCTTTACTTCTCAGGGCCAGTCATAGTTTGCTCTGTTGCATTTGTATTCTAGAGCTTTACAAAACTGCATCGAGCTATGGACATTTTAACTTAATTATTTTTCATTACGTTTTGATCCAATTACGAAGAGCTTTGAGCAATTTTAAAAAATGGAACAGCTCTTCAACTGGCACTACCTGAAAATAATTAATTTCACCAGTTAAAAATATAAAGTAGTCAGAACATTATCCTGACATGGCCAGCACACGATCCAGGTAGATTATATCCAGGAGACTGATTATCGCAGAAAGGAGTTGCCCTGAGAATCCTCATGTCTTCAGATTAAACATGGGCAAGGAAACCTCCTGCTGATTACCACATACGATGCTCCCTTGGCTGATGAATCAATCCTCCTCCACGTTGAACAACAACATTTGGAGGAAGCACCAAAGGTGGCAAGTGGGCAAAAATACTCCGTGGTGAGAGATGTCAATGTCCAGCATCAACAGCGGTTCAGCAGCAGCACTACTGAACAAGCTGATCAGGTCCAAAACACACAGATGCTAGGCTGGGCTTGCAGCTGACGGTGTGGAAAAAAATGGATCAGATTGAAACTCAAAAATGAATCAGATTTAAGCTCTCCAGTCCTGCCACATCCAGTCAAGAACAATGAAAATAAATCACTGGGGAGGAAGATCCACAAATGTCTCCATCCTCATGTCAAAAAGAGCCTAACACATCAGTGCAAAAGATAACCTTGAAGCATTCACAACAATCTTCAGCCAGAAGCACCAATGGACAATCCACCTCAGCCTCCTCCAGTGGTCTCCAACATTGCGGATACTAGTCTTCAGCCGATTTGATTCACTCCATGTGATATTGTGGAACAGCAGGAAGCACTGGATACTACAAAAGTTATGAGCCCTGACAACATTCTGGCAATTCTGTACTGAAGACCTGAGCTCCAGAACTTGCCTCTCCCCATGCCAAGTCCAGCTATAATGTTGGCATCTATACAAAAATGTGGAAAATTGCCAACATACGTCCTGTACACAACAGGCAAGACAAATCCAGCTTGACCAATCACTGCCCCATCAGTGCTATCAAGCAGCACTTGCTCAGCAATAACCTGTTCACTAATGCCCAGTTTGGTTCTGCCAGGGACACTCAGCTCCCGACCTCATTAGTCCATGTTTCAACCAAGGTTTTAAAGAGTTGAATTCCAGAGGTTAGCCGAGTGACAGGCCTTTACAGCAAGATTGCATTCAAGCAAGTGTGGTATCAAGGAGCCTTAGCAAAAATGGAATTAATGAATGTCAAGGGAAAACTCTCCACTGGTTGGAGTCATACCTGGTACATATGAAGATGGTTGTGGTTGTTGGAAGTCTTTCATCTTGGCTTCAAGACAACTCTGCAGAAGTTCCTCAGGGTAGTGCTCTAGGCCCAATCATCTTCAGCTGCTTCAATGCCCTTTCCTCCATCATAAGTTCAGAAGTGGACATGTTCCCCAATGATTGTGCAACGTTCAGCACCATTTGTAACTCCTCCAATATTGAAGCAGTCCACGTTCACTGCAACAAGATCTTGTCAGCCCAAGCTTGGATATCTTCAAGTGGCAAGTAACATTTGCACCATGCAGATGCCAGGGAGTGACAATCTCTAATGAAAGACAAACAATCGACTATCCATCCCTTCACAATCAATGATGTTAGCATAACTGAATCCCCCAAATAAACATCCTTTAAGTTACCATTGACCAGAAACTCAACTGGACTCGCCATATAAATACAGTGGCTTCAAGAGCAGGTCAGAGGTTTGCAGTACTGCAGCAAGTAACTCACCTTCTGACTCCCTAAAGCCTGTCTACAATCTACAAGGCACAAGTCAGGAGGGTGTTAAAATACTCCCTACTTGCCCGGATGAGCACGGATCCAACAATACTCAAGAAGCTTGACACTATCCAGGACAAAGCAGCCTGCTTGATTGGCACTACATCCATGAACAGCCACTCCTTCCACCACTGACACTCAGTAGCAGCAGTGTGTACTATGTACAAGGTGCACTGAAGAAACTCAAAACATCCTTAGATAGCATCTTGCAAACCCACAATTACTTCTATCCGGAGGACAAGAGCAGCAGATATATGGGAACACCAATACGAGCAAGTTCCCCTCCAAACTACTCACCAACCTGAACTTGGAAATATAATCACTTTTTCGTCACTGTTGCTGGGTCAAAATTCTGGAATTCCCCACTCAATGGCATTGTGGGTCAACCTACAGAACATGGATTGCAGCAGTTCAAGGTGGCAGCCTACTGCAATCTTCTCAAGGGCAACTAGGGACGGGAAATAAATGCTGGACAGCCAGCAAAACCTACAGCCCATAAATGAATTTTTGAAAAAAAATGAAAGAAAGAAAGATAAAATGAAATGAAATGCAACTGGATTCAAAAGAATCTAAACTTTCAAGTTTAGTTGCCTAGTAAGTTGCAGCCAGAATTTATTATAGACGTGTGGAAACTAATTTGGTTAAGCAGCAAAAAGAAGAAACCAATTGACATATACATTAAATGGAATAGTGCAGCATGATCAGGACAGAGTCCAAGAATTAAACAGCAGAAACTAAATAATCTTATCTAATCAAGAGCATAGATAATGTCTCCAAATCAACTTTTCCCCTCTAATCAACCACTTCAATTCACTGAAACAGCACCAGAACTTCTCTGTCAGCAAAAATACCTGATATACCTTAGGTACCCTAATATCAATCACAGCTTTCTGGTTAAATTGAGAACTGAAGAAAATGAACAGTCATTTCAAGTGGAAATATTTGGTACTAAAGAAACCTAGCAAGTCTGGCTGCATCTGTGCAGTGAGAAATGTTTCTAGTCCAATAGGACTCTTTGTCAGAACAATGACCAAGACGACAGATTACAGCCCTCAGAATGGTCATTGTAATAGTGTAGAAGACCAAGGAATCTTCAGGACAATTTGAAGATGTTGTGTTGATGCCTTTTTTAAAAAATAGAAATTCCACCAAAGTCCTCAAAATTGCAATAAGTTGACAAAACTGTCATAAGCAAATAGTGAGCAGTTCAAACGAGACAAGAGTAATAAAGAATCATTCTCAAAGAGTAACAGAATTAGGAGATTGGAATAGCTTGGTCAGAGGAAGCATGAATGGGTTTGAGACACAATTAGAATAATTCTAATGACAGATAGGATTGAAGGTATGGTGATAAGAAAACTAAATTGTATTAACCATTGAAAGGTTAGAAAGAATTACCATAATCGATTCAAACACTTTGTCCTTTCTCTAAACTTTTAGAGCAGATATAAATCACTTTTAAACCAAGTAGGATCTAGCTTAAAGATCGGTTTAGCTTTTCATTGTAGAATCCATCTGCCCTGCAGGTTGGAGTCTAGCTGATTTGTCTATAATCAATTAGTACCCATTGTGGCTAAGATGTAACCAACACAAACCTCCACTTCTTCCTCTGCATCACTTTCATCTGAATATTTTTCCTTTTCTTTCTTTTCCTCTTCAGTGCTGGACTCGTCTGTGAGAATTTCTTCTAAGGTTGCAGCTTTTGATTTTTTCTTGGACCCAGAGCTGCTATGTTCTTTCTTTCCACCCTTTTGACGTTTTTTTTTAGGCTTTGGTAATGACTGGAAAGTATACATTTAACATATACATGAATAAACATATTTAAACAGAATTAATTTATAAAGAGATTTATCAAATCACCATAGCAAGAAAAGAGCAAGTGCTTCAATAGTTTGCTCACAAACTAAGTGTGAGCAATTTTTCATCATCTGAATTAGCTTAAAAACTGGCACATTATGAACATTTTAAACTTCTCAGAACACATACAACCATGCTGCACACAAGATTATAAAAACAGTTTAGGAGCTGATGTTTTCATTTTTAAAGACTACGTAACTATGAAAAATTGGAAGGAGCCGTGGGGATCTTTTAAAAATGCATTCATTGGCATTCAAGAGGTACATGAAAACTTATTACCGAAAGTCTCAGAGTTGACTTTCACACAAGCATACATAAATAGTACTAGATTTCAAAATCTCAACCTTGCCCGATGCCTTGGGTTTCATTAGGAAATTCAGAATTTTTGATACAATTTCATCTTTAGTGCCTTTTCTCTCCAGATCCAGAACAGTACAAATCACCTTTAGCACCGAAATTGGATTCCTGAAATTATGGGGGACAAAAAGAAAACATATATAAACATTGCAGTACATTGTTAACTCCAACTCAATGAACAATAAAGATTTTGCAACAATGTTTTTTTATAGAACAACCAAGTGCATTTAAGATCATTTCTGCAGTATCTTGTCCAACAGGTCAAACAGCGAAACAGATATTCTCCGGTCATCGGGTTTCACATGACAAAGTATCTGAGAGTTCTAACTACATCTAGTCTATTTTTGACCTGATCAATTTTAAAACATCAAGTTTTTTGAAAACTTATTAGATATGCTGGGAAGGCAACATTCCTTTCTGACCAGACAGTCATATGGGACGGAAACAGATCCTTTGGTCCAACCAGTCCATGCCGATCATAATCCCAAACTAAACTAGTCCCATTTGCCTGCGCATGGCCGATATCCCTCCAAACATTTCTTATTTATGTACTTTGTCTTTTAAATGTTGTAACTGTATCCACATGCACCTGGAAGTTCATTCAGCAGTAAAACCACTTTCTGTGCAAAAAAGGTGCTCCTCATATCTTTGATAAATCTTTCTCCTCTCACCCTAAAAATACGCCACTACTCTTGAAATCCCCAATGCTAGGGAAAAGACATCTGCCCTTCACCTTATCTGTACCCCTCATGATTTTATAAACCTCTAAGGTCACCCCTCTACCTCCTACACTCTGGTGAACAAAGTCCCAGCCTATCCTTATAACTCAAACCCTCCATTCCCAGCAACATCCTGGTAAATCTTTTCTGAACCTTCTCTAGCTTAATAATAATCTTCCTAGAACAGGGCAACCAAAACTGGACACAGTACTGCACAAGAAATCTCACCAACATCCTGTACAATCTCAACATGATATCCAATTTCTATACTCAAAAGACCAAGCAGCGAAGGTAAACGTGCTAAATGCCTTCTTAACTATCCTTCTACCTATGACACAAACTTTAAAGAATTATGTACATAAACCCCTAGGTCTGTCTGTTCTACACAAAGCCCCACTTTTAAATGAATAAGTCCTGCCCTTGTTTGTTTTATCAAAATGCAATACCTTGCATTTAGCCAAATTAAACGCCATCTGCCACTCCTCAGCCCATTGACCCAATTGATCAAGATCTCCGTGATCTTAGATATCTTTCTTCACTGTCCATTATACCACCAATTTTGGTGTCATCCACAAGCTTACTAAAAACGCCTTGTATATCCTCATCCAAATCATTTATATAAATGACAAACAAAAGTGGACCCGGAACGGATCCTCGTGGAACACCGCTGGTAACAGGTCTCCAGTCCAAAAAACAACTCACCATCACCACAGTCAATCACAGAGCATAGGACTGGAGTTGCCTATCTGTAAGTGGGAAGTTCCTAGCGCTGTATGAAGTGACAACCCAACAGATTTCATAGTCACTTTCTGGTGCCATCTCACATGTATTCTAGCTGCATAATTTGTTATGGTGACCTGTCAGCTGTTTTACCATAACTACTATTGTACTCTGAAAAGCTTTATTTTTAAAAAAGAATTCCATGATATGAACAAGGAATAGATAACACTCCTTTTCCCTCTATTATTAGAGCACACACATTTCACAATTTTAAGTAAATGCAATATCAATCACAATCTAGACAAATAGGACTTTTTCAATTAAAAAAAAACTTGTAATATTTACTAATTTCATTTTCAACTCCAAGACCACGGTTAACTCCAAAACTATGACTGAATACAAAAATAGATTACTAATCATAACATACTTACAATATTCCAAATGTGAACTGAACAAAACTCTTATGACTCACTTAAACTACAGACTTCAATCTCCACCACAATGTGCAGCATTACCACTGTGCTAAATGGGACCGACTTAGAACAGATCTAGCAACTTAGGACTGGCATTCCATGAGATATTATGGACGATCAACAGCAACAGAGTTGTATTCCAGCGCAATCTGCATTCTCATCACCTGGCATATCCCCCACTCAAACATTACCATCACGCCACGGTTCAACCCTCGTTCAATGGACAGTACAGGAGGGCATGCCAGGAGCAGCACCAGGCACACCTATATATGAGGTATCAACCTGGTGAAGCTACCAAACAGGACTACGTGCATGCAAAACAACATAAGCAGCAAGTCATAGACAGAGGTAAGTGATCCCACAACTAACAGATCAGATCTAAGCTCTGCAGTCCTGCCACATCCAGTAGTGAATGTTGGCAGGCTATTAAAACAACCCCCTAAAGGAGGTGGCTCCACAAATATCTCCATTCTCAATGATGGAAGAGCCCAACACATCAGAGCAAAAGACAAGGCTGAAGCATTCACAGCCTTCTTCAGCCAGAAGTGCCAAGTGGAAGATCAATGTCGGCCTCCTCCAGTCATCCACCGGATTACATCTTCAGCCAATTCACTTCACTCCATCTGACATCAGGAAATGGTTGGAGGCAGTGGATATTGCAAAGGCTATGGGGCCTGACAATATTCCAACAACAGTACTGAAGACTTGTGCTGCAGAACCAGCCAAGATCTTCTAATACAGTTACAACACTGGCATTTACCTGACAATGTGGAAAATTGCCCAGCTAAGTCCCACGCACAAAAAGCAGGACAAATCCAACATGGCCAATTACCGCCCCAGTATATTCTTGATTATCAGTAAAAGTGATGGCAGGTGTCATCGACAATGCTATCAAGCAACATCTTCTCAGCAATAACCTGCTCAATGATGCCAAGTTTGGGTTCCATGAAGGCCACTCAGCTCCTGACCACAATACAGCCTTTGAACAAACATGGACAAAACAGCTGAATTCTAGAGTGACAGCCCATCACATAAGGCTGCATTTGATCAAGTTTGGCATCAAGAAGTACTAGCAAAATGGGAATCAATGGGTATCAGAGGACTCACTGATGGAGTCTTACCTGACTTATAGGAAGATGACTGTGGTAGCTGGAGTTCAGTCATCTCAACTCCAGGACAACTCTGCAGACTTCCTCAAAGTAGCGACTCTAGGCCCAATCATGTTCAGCTGCTTCATTAAATGTCTTTCCATTCGTTACAAGATCAGAAGTGGTGATGTTTGCCAATAATTACACAATTTCAAGCACCAATCACAACTCCAAAGATACTGAAGCAGTCCATATTCAAATGTAGCAAGATCTGGACAATATCCAGGTTTGGGCTGACAATTTGCACCACACAAACGCTAGGCAATGACCATCTCCAATAAGACACAATCCAATGACCATCCTTCACATTCAACGGTGTTAAGATCACTGAATCCCCTATCAACATCCTGGGAGATACCATTGACCATAAACTCAATTGAACTCACCATATGAACATAGTGGCTACATGGGCATGCCAGAAGCTAGGAATACTGCAGTGAGTAACTCACCTCCTGACACCCTGAACCTGTCCACCATCCACAAATTAGGAATGTGATGAAATACGCCCCACTTGCCTGGATGGTTGAAGCTCCAAAAAATAACATAAGAAGCTTGACACCATCCAGGTTAAAGCAGCCTGCTTGATTGGCACTACAACCACTCCCTCCAACACCAATGATCAGTAGCATCGTGTGTACTAACTACAAGTTGCACTGCAGAAAGATTTGTAGTTAGCTTCTTCCAAACCCACAACTACTTCCACCTAGAAGGACAAATACAACAAATACACCACCACCTGCAGGCTCCCCTCCTAGCCATTCACCATCCTGACTTGGAAATATATTACCGTTCCTTCGTTGTTGCTGGGCTAAAATGCTGGAATATTTCCCAAGGGCGTTGTGAGTCTACCTACAGTACACGGACTGTAGTGGTTGACAGCTGCAGCTCAGCACCACCTTCTCAAGGGCAACTATAGATAGGCAATAAATATTGGCCAGCCAGTGACACCCACACCCAGCAAGTGAATAAAAAAAATTAATAATACAGTTCAGTGCATTAGCTTTTAGCCTGCAAACAGAACAGGCATTTTGCTATTATTCTAGAATATAATAGTTTAATTGGTATTTGCAGTCAGACAATCTTTGTCTCCCTACTTTTCATAAGACAATAAACTGCAGTATTAGTTCACGAGCCAAATCTGGATGAAGTTGGTCATTTAGCTCATCATTCCACAAAGAACACTAGAATTTCACTTTCACCTCATCTAATTTTTTCTCAACTGATAGCAGAGCTTGACCTTCATTACCTAACTTTTTCATCATTCTACTGGAAGGAGTGCCAGTTTGCAGCCCTATTGATAAAAATACTTCCCCATCCCCACCTTTCTTATTCTCTTTTAATCTGGTTTGAAGTCTTCCAAACATTTTATTTCCACTCTCCCACTCTGAAATCTTTTAAAGGTAAGTAAAAAAATTGATCAGGGGCGTGGTTCTCCTCTGAACAATCGTCCTATTTTGAATATTCCCTTGCTTCTGTGACCAAACTGAACATTCTGCACAACCTCTGGTCTGATTACAGCACTAGAGTTTGAGCAGAACTTCAAGTACTGACTCATGGTTTTGGATATATATGTAACATGGCTTCCTTTGTCAGTCGCTATGCTATTGTTTAGGATCAAATCGACTGAAATATTAATTTGATATTAAGTAACTGAGAACCATGGACTATCCTGACCAGCTCACTCCTGTCGACCAGCAACATCTCTCTACCACCAGGATCACTGCAGTTCCAATCTATTAAGTATACACTAACACCAATTGATGATCAACAGTGAATGACTTAATATCTAACTTGATAATCTCTATTTCAGTAAAAGAGGCAACTAGCCTGACAATGGAATGAAAGCTTCCCATTTCACAAGTTGATAATGGCTAAGTTGATATTTCAAGCCTATTTCGTTCCAAATAAAATCCACCTTTTGACCCAGCAGAATATCAAGACTCCAATTGCTTTCCCCATTTGACTGCAAGAAAACAAAAGGAGCTTAGGGAATTTCTTACAGGTTTCTTGGTCACCCAGGGTTTCACATGCTCTCTTTTGCTTTCCAGAAGGTGAACTTATAACAGAATGAGCAAGCATTAATAATTCTTTAACTGTCTATGTACAAGAGCCCTTCTCTTCTGTACCAACATTAATGCCATTTTCTTTCTATTCTTCCATTATTTTCCTATATACATCTGGAGTATAACTATTATTTAAAGAATATGAAATAGGCAGTTAGTTTAAAATTATTTAACAAAGTTAACAAGCAACACACCCAAATGTCATTCCTCAGACAAGATAAGCTCTTGGTAGGTTGCAAGTGGTGAATTGAATGCTTAGTCACTCACTTTTTCAGTACCTCTTCTTTTTTCTTGTGCTCCTCACTGCCGCTTTCAAATGAGAACCCAGTAAACAGTCGAATGTTTCGTTTCAATGTGGCAAGCTGGAAAGAATTCCACAAGAACAAATCGATTATACCATACTAATAAGACCTAAAAGTCATTTTACAGGACATGCCAACCATAAATTAAGTACATCAAACAAAGTGTATGCAGTCAATTGATCAGTTGCTCAGGCAGACTAGCAATGTCTGGCTTGATCTTCAGTTTATAATGAGTTAATCATGGGCCTAAGCCTCTTGAGTCTGAGAGGAAAGAACAGCAATTTTGATTCATTATCCCTCCTGGAACAGCATGTGAATTTCAGGCAAGTTAGTAAACTCTTAGCTAAAGGATCCAGTTTGACTCTACTACCATTCCACTTTTTGAGTACATTTGTAACATAAACCAATTTGTGATGTCTGGACTGATTTCACCTCAAAAAACATGTTAATTATAAATAAGGACGCCATGGAACAAGATTAGTAGCTAGGAAGCTGTTTCTTTCAATGATAGGTGTTGAAATTATAGCAGTTAGATTATTCCTCAAATAATATTCAGCCCATCGAATGTAAACCTGCAACTTCAACCCAGAGAAAACAGTTCTTATCAGACTTTTATATTTTAGGACTATAAACTTGTCACAAGGCTAGACTCTTGACAGCATCTGTGTTTTTACTTCGACACACTTTAGACATGGCTAAAGTTAAGCAGCTTTCCAGAACGAAAAGTTTTGATTTTGTTCCAAGTCTTTGTTGAAAGATTAACTGGAAATGCTGTTTTTAAAAGACCTACTGCAATTAAGATATTTTGACCATAAATATTTGCGGATGTCTGCTAACTGTTACGACATGTGCACAATTATGTCCAATGACTTGTAGCCCTGCAAAGGAGATCACCTCTTCCGGAAAACAAAATTCCTCTTACAAAAACAGCATATTTTTGCTTAGTATAATCGGCCATTCTCATGCTCAAGAAAAAGTGATACCCCCAAAATTAATGCAAATGTTTCTCAGAGTCATAGAGACATAGAGCATGGAAACAGACCCTTTGGTCCAACTTGTCCATGCCAACCAGTTATCCGAAATTAATCTAGTCCCATTTGCCTGCATTTGGCCCATTTCCTTCTAAACGCTTCCTATTCATATACCCATCCAGATGCCTATTAAATGTTGTAATTTTACCAGCCTCCTCAGAGCTCATTCCATAATCATACCACCCTCTGTATGGAAAAGTTGTCCCTTCGGTCCCTTTTAAATCTTTCCCCTCTCACCTTAAACCTATGCCCTCTTGTTTGGGAATCTCCCACCCTGGGGAAAAGACCTTGTCTATTCACCCTACCCACGCTCCTCATGATTTTACAAACCTGTATAAGGTCACCCCTCAGCAGCCAATGCTCCAGGGAAAACAGCCCCAGCCTATTCAGTCTCTCCCTATAACTCAAACTGTCCAACTCTGGCAACAGCCTTGTAAGTCTTTTCTGTACCCCTTCAAGTTTCACAACATCCTTCCCAAAGCAGGGAGACTAGAATTGCACACAGAATTCCAAAAGTGACCTAAACAATGTCCTGTGGAGCTGCAACATGACATCCCAAAGTTTCTCACTCATGAACTGAATATTAAATTCGATCATGTTATGGACAGTACTTTGTAGAGGATATTTTACTGTGAGATCATTTATTAAACCTGTCTTATACATTACTAGATCCAAGATACCTGCTCCCTGGTTGAGTCCATGATATATTGCTCTAGGAAACTATTCCTAATGCACTCTATGAATTCATACTCATAGCTACCCTTTCCAATCTGATTAACTCAATCAACATGAAAGATTAAAGTCACCCATAATTATTTCTCTGTTCTTTGCACGTACTCCTATTATTTGTTGACTGGTTGAGGCAGGTAACCTCAACCTTTTAAAAAGAACTTGGATGACCACTTGAAATGTCATAACATTTCAAGGCTATGGTCCTTGTGCTGGAAAGTGAGGCTAGTCTAGACATAGCATATTTTTGACAGCAGAGATTCGATGTACTGAAGGGCCTCTTCTGTATTGTAAGATTCTAGGATTAAGTCAAGAAAAGAGGGACTGAGTGATGAAGGAAAGGAAGGGTGATTGAATGGTGATAGTGAAATCTCCGGACAGGTGTACATCCTTCACTGGCAGTAAGAGTGAATATAATCAGTTTGTTTTGATCCAAAGTGCTCCCATAGATAGCTCAAAATGAAAATTTCTAATCATGCTGTTAGAAGGGTTCAGCTGAAACGTGCTTGCATCCAATGATTTATGACATTCACAGCATTGGGAAGGAGATCCTGCAGTCTTGTACCAGGACCAGCCACCTTACTGTGCAATTTAGGCTCCTCTTTGATTTGCATCTTCCTCTGCTTCTACATCCTGCTCTTCCTCCAATGAGCTGTGTTCGTTTAGAAATTTCAATCTTTTCAAAAGCCATGGTACAGAGAGACCTCCACAATGCATGAGACCTTACAGTGTTGACTGCAGCACTACACCTGATTGGTACAGGCACTAAAATTGCACCTTCAGTAGTGGTCCATATAAGCAGATTACTTTGGTTATACCACCTCTGCTGTTCTGTCTCAGGGTCACATAAAGGAATGATTTTGGCCGACTTGTCCCCTAAAATCCAACCATTTAGGTTAAGCTGTTTTGCTTTTGCCCAACAGCAGGTATTTAAAATTGATGAACCCGAAGTACTAAATATTTTTGATCTTACCGAACCTGGCCTGTTATATAAGATTTTGTGAAGCGATTTGAGATCTTCAGCCTTCGTTTTGCCCATGAAATACTGTATCCTCTCAATTTCTCCCAGCTTTGTGCCTCTACCTGAATAAAATGAAAAAAAAAATCCATTATGTAGAATTATACTTTGTGCTTAAATTCACACCAGGATAGAAGGCAAACAAACAGTATTTATGCAAAATAAAGTATTTCTAATCAAGTTTTTACTAATGGCTGAAGTGGCTAAATCAAAGAGTGAAACCTTGCAGACCAGGAATTTGTTAGCTTTAATTCACAGCCAGTTCTGAATTGGCTATCTTCAATGACACAGTAGTAATTGAATATAACACACCTTCCATTACAAGCAAATCCAGATATTTTGCTTCGCACAAAATTTCTTCCCACTATCCACCAAACCTCATCAGCAAATCTTGTTGGGTCTCAGCAAAACAGGACAAGGGAGCCAAACAGTTCACATGCTTTTGTTTTTAGTAGCACACCAGAATAATTTGCCAGGTAAAGTACAAATATTAGGTGAGGAAAGGATTCTTCTTTGGTGTTATAATTCTTTTCGTTGAAAAATACTAATGGTCATCATTTCAGCTCATGCACAGAGAATGGATGAAGATGGATAAGATGCATTATCATGTTGACTAGTGGATGCAACAGCTTGGCAAGAGGCACTAATATCAAAAACAATGTCGGGTCTCTTCATACAAGTGTCAACTTCACAGGTGGAAGATCTTAAATCTCAAGGAATGGCTTTCACAGCCAAGAGCAAACTTGTACCAAATGTAATCATTCCAACAAAGTGGATAGTGTTCTGCATGTCAGTCAACACTTAGATAACTGGTTGCCAACGTTATTTCAGTTGGTCAAATGTTTTCCACCATAGTTGTGGCACTCATCTATGGGATGAACTTTGGCAAGGAATAAACCTCTTCAGAAAAAAAAAGAAAAAATGGTACAATTTCCAGTTTCTGAGGAAGTAGCAAATGGTCAGTGATTTCAACATAAAAGTCCATGTTATTAAGATCTTTTCTTTGCAACACCATATTGTATACTGACTTACGTTGATTAACTTTATTTTCTGTGGAGTTCTGCTTTTACCAATTGGAACACAATTGCATACTGCAGCCTTCAACACCGCAGTTCTAAGATTTGTATTTCCATATGCTATTTAATAGAGAACATTTAGCATAGGAATTAAAGCCTTTCAATCCAACAAGCATTGGTCTGCCACAGGACACATTGAAGAAACTGCTACACAAATACTCTGCAATCCATTTAAATCACCAAAATTCAGTGACATTTCTCCCATCTTCCAACAAAACCAAAAACAAATATCCAGGCAATAACCACAAAGCTTTAAAATGTTTACCTTCAGGAATACTAAATGTGTCTTTTGCAGATGGTGTCACTTGTAGAGTCAGTCTTTCCACTTTTTTCTTTTCTCTTTTCCCTTCTACGATGGGACTTCTTTCCAGTAATCCCACTGCAACAACAAAATAAGAGCATTCCTGTAAACAGAAGCAAAGTACTACAGATCTGAAATAAAAACTGAAAGTGCTGAAGAAACTGAGCAGGCCTGGCAGCATCTGCGGATAGAGATATAGTTAATCATTTCAAACTGGAATCCAGAAGAGGCATCAGACTGGACTTGAAACATGAACTATTTCTCTCCACAAATGTTCCCAGATTGTAGTTTCTTCAGTACTTGGTTTTTATTCCTATAAATGGAATTTGATTTCAAAACATTAAAAATCACTAGCACAAATTTGCACTCTACCCCTCTCTTCCTCCTCCTCTTCCTCTTCACTCTCCAATTTTTCATTTTTTTCTTCTTCTACAATGGTCGAAGACTTATCAGGCTTATTTCTCCTCTTTGTTCCTTCAGCCTTGTCTCCTTTCTCAACTGCCGCCATCTTTGAATCTGTTTCTGTTGACATTAGGATCTCTACCAAAAACAGAGAATATGAATCAGGTCTTAGGTAATTTATTCTATTATTGTCACAAAATGTTTCAGGGATGCATCATGCTTAAAATTACTGCAGCTCTAAGCTTCAGTTTGTAGCACTTACTACCTTTACCAAAACAGTTCTGAAATTACAAATAACCTGGCTCCAAAAGCCACTGATGATCAATATGAGACAACAAGGTGTAGAGCTGGATGAACACAGCAGGCCAAGCAGCATCAGAGGAGCAGGAAGGCTGACGTTTCGGTCCTAGACCCTTCTTCAGAAATAACCCTTGTGAAGAAGAGTCTAG